CTTATTTTAATCATTTACATTATACTCTGAATGAACCCTGATATCCAAACATCTCAATCCAAGAGCCTATTTTGATTGTGTGGGAGATGGTAATATGACAAAATTAAAGAGACACTACACAGATTGTTGGAGAAATTTGATATTGTACCAACTGTAAGCTATGTAATATTGTCCTCCATCATAGGCTTAGCCAGCAAAATTTATTAATTGAATGTACGTTTTTTTCGTACCAATATTCGGTGGGGATTCCCAAAGATGGGCATGGCCTGCCCATCGGCTCAGTGCCACGCCCACTGGCTTACATTTTGGACGGCCTATTTTTGGTTTTTCTGGTTAAACCCCTGTCGTCTATGCATCACAACAATAATCAAATGAAATTAGTATTTGCACAATACAAATTGCAAATACCTTCCATTCTCATCTGCAAGTTATTTTTCTTCCGACTGAGAACATGTCAGAATTGTTATCATTTAATTTTTTTTTTATCTCATTCTATTTAACTACCTCCTCTTTATTATATTACAGCATCAACATTTTATTTGAAAACTTCAGATGTTTTTTAGTAAAAATCAGCTTGTTTCGTGGGTTAAAATTTGGATGGATCGACAAGTCTCAAAAGAGACATCACGTCAATAGGGTTTAGTTTCATTTCATTTCATTTATTTCGCCAGATATAAATATATAAATATACAAATATAAAATTTCAAAAATAGAATTGTTGCCATGTGGCAGGATTGCCCAAATGTAGAAGATCTACTGTCGAGGGGCTCTCCTCATGACAACAAAAATACAATGTCGCAATTCTATATACATAATTTAAAAAAAAAAAAAAAAAAAACAATTCTATATACATAATAAAAAAAAAAAAATATTATAAACATTAAAATGCAGTACGGTATAAGAAAACATAATATAATTACAAAAAGATTAAAAAGGCCTAATAAAAAGAACAGATAAAATAAACCACAGAGAGAGCAATCGAGCAAATTCCCTAATCCCTTAAACGTCGTTATAATAATCATTCAGTTCCATCAAAAAATTATTAATGTTAAAGAGTAATAAATTTCTTTTTCATATTAACAATAAGTTCCATTCCACCAAAGAATTTTTAAAAAGATTGTATTTCAATTATTTTAATAATAACATATCAGACACTTTTATGCTTAGTACATGGGAACAGAGGTACCTGTAGGTATAGAAACAAATGGCAAGTACAATGGCTGTATAGTAGTAATAGCATCTCCCTGATAATGCTGACTCATCACAATTGATTATAACGTCTCTACAAATTATTAAATCTCTACAACTCTTCTTTATCAACGGTAAAAAGATATTTCATTATTAAACATAATTTTATCAACAATGTGTCTTGCTGAACTCAAACTTCATAACGACTAGGCTGGCTTGAGCACGTGATCATAAGCTGCTTTAGGTCTGTACTAATGGTGGTCATTTCATGAGTTCTTGCTAAAACTAGCAACACTAAAAAAAATTACCAGTTGTTAATCAGTGCAAATCTTATAGCATTGGCACAACCCATGAAATTGGGAAAAATTAGGTCACCAAAAAGTTGCTGACCTCCAAGGTCGGCAGTCTTGGCAATTTTGTACCACCTAGGCCTACAGTATAAACTACAATTTTTCCAAACGCTCAACTTTACAGCTACAGATCGTGATTTTGTTGTAGCTTTGTCATAATTTTGATTTAAATCAAGTTTGTTTTAAGTTTGTTCAGACATTTTTTTTTTTGTACTTGATAGTTTATGGTGTTGTTATTATACAATCACAGCCTTTTGTAAGAACACCCAGTGGGTGAAAGAGTCTCGTGAATAAATAAAGATTATTATTATCTCAATATTGGTGAAAGAATGGTTGTACTTCTATTATTTTAACAGTGTAGTATAATACATATATTTTACATAAGAAAATTGCTGAAGAAATGCTATTTTAGCGTTATCAGTAGCATGGGAAATATCACTTTATAAAAGCTACGGTCGTATCTCAGGCTATCTCTGTGCTTCAAAACTGCACATGCATGTCCATGTGCATGCTGTGTTCATGTTTAAACGGATGATAGAATTTGGCCTACAGTATGTTTAATTTGGTTGTTTTTAATACACACCTGCTAACCGTCCCGATTTCCGATGTAAAAACACCAAAAAATCGGGACGTCCCTATTTTTAGAATTAAAAAAAAAAAATTACATTGTAAGAAGTATCCACTACTTGCCAGTGTGATGAAGGAGATATTAGTCTGTAGTTCCCCCGGGTATACCAGAGGTGGGACTATACCCACGGAACTATGGTAATATTTCATAGCTATAGTGACTGTGAGGGAGTTTTCTCTATTGTGGAAAAAAGTCCAAGCATCGAGCTAGCATGACAACAAAAACTTAGGTGCTTTAATGTTTTAGGCCTTGGCTGGCTAGCGTCCTTGCCTACGAAACGACTAGGCTTAGCTAGACTAGAAAGACGACGATTATACACACATATGCCTAGGTAATGCCTATTAAAAATAATTATTTTACAAACAAATATGTTTTACGAACGACCACTTTCCTTGGTTTGACGACGTACATGAAATTTAGTTTCTGCTATAGCCTGTTTCAGCAAGGTTTTGAGTTTCCCAGCAGTTTTTGAAGCAAAGAAATCTAAGCCTAGGTCGGCAAAAAATTGCCATTCTGTGGTAATTCTGGCTTGGCAATATTGGCGGCAATTGCTGAATGCCGATGTGAATTTCAATAGTGTCTGATAACATTGCCAATACCTTTTTTCTAGACTAATTTTGAGGCTGCAAACAATGTGTGTTTTGTACATTTTTAGCAAAGGTTGTTTTCACTGCAGTTGTAAGCAAATTTTGGATCAATGTGGTCATATCAATCTAAGAATATGGCTTTTCTGCATGTCCCTCGCCATTTTTCTGGAATTGACTGTATACCTAGGAGGAAGACAGCCGTAGTAGAAAAGAACAAACACTGATAGTAGTGTCATGCTCTGATAGACAGCACTGTGCACACTTCAGTACTGGTAGGCCATCAAATGCTCTCTACTGCTACTCATCATTGTAATAATAATAATAAATGTCACAAAGGTCATTCCTATTTGCTACGTATTGATTGTCATTGGGTATGTGCCCTGAACATGTATCAATCATACACTGAAAGAATGAATCATCAAGGTAGACAATGGAAATATCCTATTGTGTGAAAGAATTGAGATTATAACGTAATTTATTCATAGTAGCCATTAAATTTGTATTAATAAATAAAAGCTAGGGACAACAAATTCAACATTTATATCCTACACATAGTAGTAGATTTATTTTAATTTCTTTTATTTAAATTATTTTTTTCTTCAATTGCAAAGGGAATTCCTGACCTTGTACTGTTAAACAGAAAAATTACCTTGTGTCTAGTAGCAGTAAACTGTCAGATTTGTTTGTGGAGTTAACAAATGTCTAGAAATCCAATGACCAGAAAGCTGATCAGTCTCCATTCATTACTGTATGTAACATGCTTTGAAAATATTTGTTTTACTATTTTAACTAAATTGTCTAGTAGCAATAAACCGTCAGATTTGTTTGTGAATTGACTGATGTCTAGAAATGCAATGACCAGAAAGCTGTTCCGTCTCCCTTCTGTATGCAACATATGCTTTGAAAATATTTGTTTTATTATTTTAACTAAATTTGTTGATAATAACGATAGAGAGACTTATTATTTGGTATTGAATATTTGTAATACCCAGTATCTGTAATTAGACTTGTGAATTCAGTATTTCTTGACAAAAACATGCGACATGCCTTAATATGGTCATGATTACATCACAGTATTACCATGTATATATTCACATCTTGACCATATATGGGCATATATCAGTTTTTATTGATTGAACCTAGGACATTGGTATTATAAGAAAAGCATCCTAGCCATTAGTTCACTGTTCAACATCACACCATGATGAGGCAAATGACAAGTCTGTTTAAAAAAAAAACCATTTTAATGTTATGACATAGTATGAAACATTTTAATGTTATGACATAGTATGAAATAAAAGAAGGAATGCGTCATCTAGTATAAATCTCTTTTCCTTTGAATTTGTGAATTTGACCATGAGTTAATAGATACTACAGTATGTTTGAATTTCATTAATAAATTATACAAATCTAGAGCAAGGTACTGTATCCCGTAATTAAATTGACAATATTAATTATTATATAAATTGATATTATGAAAAGTTTTAAATTGTAAATTTTAAATTAATTTATCAATAATATTAATAATAATAAATAATATTTTATCTCACTTTTAGGAATCACTTCTCATCATTTTTGCCTTTTTCTATGTTATTTTTTATTTAATAATATGTTTGTTAGTATGAATGAAGGCATTAAAGGAAGAATATAATATAAGTCCAACAATAAATAATAATAAGTATTGTTATAATTATTAACTTGTTATTATTTCATTTTACAAAAAGTGAAACAATCATGAAATAATATAATATTAAAGATGTACTGTCCCTTAAAAAATGACCAAATCATAAAAAATAAATTTTAAATTAACTTGCTTATTTTGCAGTAACATACAAATTACAAAATAATTTTTATGTTACTTCAAAATGAGCAAGTAAATTTCAAAAATGATTTTTATGATTTTTTTTTGTTTTTGTAAGGGACAGTACATCTTTAAATGTTGCAAACATCAGTCACTTGTACAGTGCTCCCTGTACGGTATTTGCTTCTTGGATTTATTTTTATAAAATATTTTTGTTTAGCTATGTTTGTTATATTTATAATAAAAATTGTGTATAAATGTCTTTCTACCTAAATTATATTTTTGATTTACTCATTATGGCATGTCAAGTTATAAGGTGACTTTTGTTTTAATTTAATATCAAATAATTTGTATTTTATGTCTACAGGTAAGCACATTTTCTTAAGTAATGTATATTAAACATAGGCATAATTTCAATTAACAAATTATATGTTTTCTCTTCATAGGGCCAAGTTTCATAAATTAAAGTTTGGAACAGACCCATCAGGGGAATTAAAACCACCAACATTTGAAGGGGGTAAGTTACAATTGTACATTTGTTTTTTACTTCTTCAGTTTTATTGATATAAAAAAAATCATAACTAATTTTATTCTATAAAGTATGATGTGTAAAGTATGTGCTGAATGATACTGTTCTTATGGGCCAACTTCATGATTAAATGCTTCGGCCCTGTATCCTAGTTATTGGATAGAGAAATCAATCTTGCACAAGTGTTGTTCTCTTGGGATGTAATCTTAAAGGCATTCTTAATTTAGCACAGACTTGTAAATCATTCACATCCTACCAGTTACCCATAAATACTTGTAGGTGAAGAGAGACAAGTCTGTATAGGTAAAGTATCATGCTTAAGGACATTAAGTACGACCAGCTTTGTATTACAGCTAATAATAATATAGATATTATTATGTTTAAAGTACTAAATACAGTTAATGTTACCTAATATTGAGTTGCACATCTATCTAAATTTGTACACCATCACCAACATTATTATCTTCATTATCAACATGATCTTTATCACCATTTATATCTTCATCATTACCACCTTCATAATTGCCATCTTAGTCATCACCATCTATGTTATCAGCATCTTTGCCATAATCACACATCAATCATAATCTTTTTTAAACACCCTCTTCATCACTACCATTTTTGCCATCACTGTTGCAACCATCAGTGTCATCACCACAATCAAAATCTTCAGTTCAATTCTTAGTTTTTCTTTTCCACAATTTTTAGATGATATGAGTGAAGAAGATTCTATTATGTCTCCAAATGCACAAGTTAATTTTAAGCAAGGAAGGCAGTTACTTAGGCAGTAAGTATTCATATTGTTACACTATTATCACTGGCATCGTGCTGCCCAGTATCATTGCAGGAATTCATAAATGGTAGAGGTGGGGGAGGGGGTGGGATGAGCATGTAGGAGACAAGGTAGAGAAATGGAAAATATTGAAGACAACAGATAATTTTATGTGAAGCATAAATGGTCATAGCCTGATCTAGGTACCTATTCCAGTAGCTATTTAGAGGCAAACATTGATTGACTATAATAATCATTCATACAGACTTGTAGCATAGGAATCTTTGTAAATTATATTTGCATCATTTATCAAACATTTTATTCTATACATTACAACAGACCAAATACAGCATCATTTTTATTGCTATTTGTAACATCAATAAAATATTGATTGTCAATACTTGTAATTTTTTTTTCTGATAAAAGAAAGCTGGGTTAGGGAATTCCCTCTTGTCGCCTATAGCACTGCCATTGATGATGTCATAATAGCAGCAATATTAAGAATATGTCATGGAGAAGAAGGCTGAACATTTGCTGATGGATCTAAAAGATAATTTAAATATATTTCGCTCATGACATGATTTCACACCTATTTTGACCTTTCAAGTGATCACCCACTTTCTTGGAGTCATGTGACTTCACTGAAGCAATTCATCAGTGTAATGATAGCAGGTTGTTTTTGTTTGAGATAATCTTCACTTCATCCATCTGCCCATATCATAATGATTGGTCATACAATTAGAGAAGCACATCTGATGTGACGCTCACTGTGGAAAAACAATTATTAATACATGAGAATAACACTTGCATAGCATGGCTAAACTATATAGTAAAGAATTAAAAGATTAAACAAATATTATAAATAAGATATAATTTGTGATTAAAATATAAAAAAGGGAATGATGTTTTGCCCTACCTGACATATCATCATACTGAATACTCAGTACATTCCCATACTTGTGAAAAAATGTGCAAGTGATTCGGGTAGGAATAGAACCCACAACTTCCAAAAATCTAACCTGGTGTTGTAACCACTAGGCTATCAAGCTTTTTCCTAGGTAGTTGTAGACGTATTTAGTATAACACGTCAGGTAGAACAAAACATCAATCCTATGATATTTTCCTGATGTAGACACACATCAAAATAAAATATAATAAAGAATTCTGAAACATTGATTTGATCATTTAAATGTCAAGATCTCCCAAAGACACAAATAATAGCCAATTCTAGTATGTACATATTTGCAAGTTTTTAAATTGATTATCCTGCTTATTACAAGTCATGCAAATAAAATATTAACAGTATTGTTTATGTGTTTCATTATTGCATTTGACCTCAAAATTGGATAAAGCGTGCAGACACGGACGTTATTGCGAATGAGTAGGTTACAGTATTTGTTCGTTAATTGCCAGGTATAATAACCATTGAGGCATACTGTCACTCCTACTATGTATATAACAATAATTTCAGATATTTACAAGAGATTGGCTACACCGACACAATTCTAGATGTCCGATCAAACCGAGTGCGTTCGTTACTTGGCCTCCAGTCAGGAGAGCAGAACTCAAATAACCTAGAGGGCGATGTTTCACCCATGGAACCACTGGTGAACGGAGAAAGCCCTGCAAAACCAAACAGATCAGACCCAAACGCAATTAAAAGGTACGGTTTAAAGATAAAATTTTAGTATAATTTATTTTTTTGAATCTATGATGAACTATATGAAATATCCATATAAGAAAATTAACGTAAACAAAGTAAAAAAAAAACCAATGATTTATATTTCTTCCTCAATTTTGTACTATCAGTCTGAAACATCTTTGTATAATAATGGTTGACTTATAGAGCGCATATTGCAGAGACCTGTATGCATTTAATTGTCAGTTATCCAACCTATCAACAAAGATTAAAATTAAATGCTGAAATGGAAAAGATAGGTAATTTAAATCTTCTTCTTGTATTACTATTCACAAATATAAAGAATCTTACTTGATTAAATCTTAAGAGATCTGAGAAAAAAAAACAGGCATGCACTGCGTCAGTTGATGGTCGGCTGAGAGATTCGTCCGTGCTTTGAGCAAAAGCTTTGCCAAATGCGAGGCAAGTCTGCTAAACATTGGTGGTAATCTAAGCAGAATTGAATTGAAATTTGAATTGCTAATTTCAAAGAATCACATAAGTTATGTAAAGTATTAATAAGTTGTAGGTCTATGAAAAACATTTGTATTGTTTTTTTATGTTTACTAAGATAATATTAATGCTATTTTTAAAATTATCAATTAAGTAACAAGGAAAATATGGTCACCTTCCAATTTTTAGTTGAAAGCTGACTTGTTAAATACAAAGTAAGCAATTTAACATTTTATAGTTAGATTTATAGTATGTTGCAAACTTCAGTTACTTGACATTAATAAATATAAATTAATATTAATAAATATACGCAAAGTAAGCAATTCAATTGTGGATTTTATTGTTCGAAATTCGGTCAAAATAGACATCTTAGGAATAACATTTCCTCAACCAGATAGTGACTGTCCGGCACTCTGAGCGCCTGACTAAAGTAAAAAAAAATATTGATTGTGATTCGGAACACATTTTGTTGGGAAAAATTGTCATTGCTATTGAATTTGCTGATGTAGAACACATTTCAATGAAATCCTGTCAGATCTTAAAGGAAATGCATTCTTTAGTATCAAGAATTAATTTAAGACAAAACTCATTTGGCATCTTATCTCTTGAGTATAAATTGTCTAGTTTTGTTATTTTTACCTTTGAATTGTCACTTCTACTGTAGTAAACAGAAAGTGATTTTTTTTAAATTCTCAAATTTGACAAAATAAAATTAGATTTGACAATGTGCTTGACTAAGCCTGTAGATTTAGATAGGCAGTGAAATTGAAGTAATTATTCATTTTCAATTTTCCTGTTCCTTTCTTTTTGAATTTATTAGTAAATTAGTACCTACTTATTATTATACAGGAGTTAGGTTTGTGGGAGATGAGCTTTGTGGAAGTTCACCACTACCCTCCCATTTGTTTTATAGAAATATGTTTTATAAACAGAAATGACCTGATATTAAAAACATCTATTATGTTTTACCTTTCTTTAATAAATCATTTAAAAAGTCATTAATTATTATAGAATTATTATTTCTAATACTATTACCATAGCAACCAATGTTATTGTTGTTACTACCATCATGATCATTACTACTAATACCCACTACCTTTATTATTGTTTTTATGAATGAAATATGATTAGGGATAACCCTGTGCCTCAAAGAAGGAAACCCAAAAGAAGACCAGTCCTTTCTCTGATTATGGCCCTCTTGTAAAATTTTGTGAATAAGTAATATTAAATGGTAATTGGTACTGATTTAAAGGTGTGTAGGATTATTAGATGTAAAAGCAACATAATTTTAGTATTCTTTATCTCTTATTGTAGGCAAGATAAAAGAATACCTGGCCAGTTACCTGAGGGTGTTTTAGATAATGTTCTTTCATCATTTGAATTCCTGGGTAGTGAGAACGTTGAGGAAGCAGAGAATGGGGACATGGAAGATGGAGGCACTGCCGATGACGAGGCAGATGAAAGAGAAATGGGAAAGACAATGGGAACCATTATAAAAAGGAATAAGGTAATTGTTGTATTTTATTCAGGCTTTCGGAAACTAATTGAAATGACAAGTTAAACATGAAAGTAGCATGGATCAGTCAGTGGATAACCACTACCTGCTTGGCTGAATTATAAGCCCTTGTAGCAAAGGACTAACTGAGACGCTGGTTAATCTTAATATAATTAGTCCAATGGGAAACTTACCTCTCAGTAAAAACTTACTGAGATGAGAAGTTAGTTTGACTGAGTGGATTGTTCTCAGTAAAACTGACCAGGTTAGTTTTACTGAACCGATGTGTCAAATGTGAACATGCATGTCTCAGATGTCAGTGTCATGAATTAGCACCCAATTACCCATTGGAATATTATCCGCAGCATCAGTAAAATATTCATTTCTTTTCAGTCCAGTCTAACTTAGTAATAGTGCACCATAATTGTAAAGTGATGTTTTAGCTGGTGGGCCCCTTGTGCCCAATTGAGAACTTGTCGGGAAATATTAAGTGCTATCTGCTTGTAAACCGACCAATCAGCATCATCTTTTTTAAGACAGGAACACAAGGTTCTGATAGATTTTAAGTGTTAGTGCAAAATGAATATGCATAGTTCTAACTGCTGTCAGTAAATAAATCTTAATCAAGCAAAGAACTTCTATGCTAAATGGTATTTTATGTTGTACCTTATTTGGCAAATAAAAAAAAAACAATTAAAAACTATATAAAATATAAGTAAAGGATAACATATTCTTAGTTGAAAATATTAAGGGAATGTCAGTTTATTAGGTCATTATTTTACTTCCTTTTTCCAAAAAAATTTAGAAAGTTGATTATGTTAACGATAAAAATTAAACTAAGAGGCAGCCAAACATGTTGCAGGGACTTCAAACGAAACAAAATGGCCCTGACAAGGGCTAATCTTTGTCTTATCAGTAGCCTACGGACATGACGTGAATTGGTTTTATAATTGGAATTCATCAGTACCTAAATTCAATCTTGTTTTAAGTTCCTTGTTGCTACTTGATTTTTGTGGAGCTGTACCTCCAGACGGAGTTCATTGGTATTTATATTGGTTAATGATATGATTAGCTCTGTTGTGAAATGTTTCTTGAGCCAAAATACAGGGTAAGTTAAAATAACAATTTTTTTAAATAATAATGACAATAATATAGAACAGAAACTTCTGTTCCTTAAACTGTTGGTATATACTTTTAGTAATTCATTTATTAAGTTGCGATTTGGATAATTCAGAATTTGGATTTATTTTTTATACAAAATTTGTTAAATAGGAGCTAATATAAAACTACGAATTTGTTGTTTTGCAGTGTTATACTTTGTTTCTTGTTACATATTTTCTCAATTTATACTATATTTAACCCTTTCAGTCCCATAAGTGCTTTAAGCGCTCTCTAATTATCGTCAGTAATTAATTAATTAATTAACAATAATTAAAAAAAAAACGTATGTGCAGTAATGTATATACTTTTTAGTAATTCATTTATTAAGTTGCGATTTGGATAATTCAGAATTTGGATTTATTTTTTATACAAAATTTGTTAAATAGGAGCTAATATAAAACTACGAATTTGTTGTTTTGCAGTGTTATACTTTGTTTCTTGTTACATATTTTCTCAATTTATACTATATTTAAAGAATTCTAAATGAAATTAGTATAGTGATTGTGATTAACTAATCTTTATTTAGGGTAACTTATTTTGTTTGAGAAATTAATCTTTTGTTTTAAAATTAATAATTCCTGTAACATTTTTTAACTAAAGGAAGTCATGTTTGAAAAAAAACTTTTTAGCAATTATTAATATATTTTTAAAGTTTTTTTTTTAACTGTTTTACTAACAAACTTTTTACTGTTTTACTAACAAAAGTGGTTGGTTTGAGTGATTGTTAATGATCAACCCTAAAAAAAGAGTTGCTGACCCCAGATTTCCAGGTTTCATGTTTCTCACAACTTTTATTTATTTATTTTTTTTTTGGTGTGTATTGCAATTTATTTAATATTTGGTAGAATAATTTAAAGATCTGTCCAGACATAAACATTAGATAATTTCAATGCATCTACCTTTAAGATACAAATTGACAATACATGACCATATAGGCACATCATGACCATATATAGGCACATCATGACCATATATAGCCATATGACTATAGAATAATTATAGGCACATCATGACCATATATAGCCATATCATGACCATAGAATAATTATAGGCACATCATGACCATATATGGGCATATCATGACTATATATGGGCATATCATGACTATATATGGGCACATCATGACTATATATGGGCACATGATGACCATATATAAATATATCATGACTATATATGGGCACATGATGACCATATATAAATATATCATGACTATATATGGGCATATGATGACCATATATAAATATATCATGACTATATATGGGCACATGATGACCATATATAAATATATCATGACTATATATGGGCATACAACAGTTTTTTGTCAGTGAGAATTTGATAGTGTGGGCAGAGCTTTAGATAGTTTGTGTTTCACTTCAGCCTGATCTATTTTGAGAGGGTGAAAGAACCAACTTAGAAAAGCACACGTACTTAATCTGCTCTGTCTATAGACTAATGAGAACTGATCACGGCCCTGCTGTGCACCCCTGATAGGCACAAGTTTCACCCCTGTAACAGGAACTAAGGCACAGAACCACTAATTCAATTTTCAGTCTTTTGATAAGAGCTGGCTCATAAACACCCCTGTTTTCAAGATATATAGCTTATATGGCTTCTGATTTTGAAACTTTGCTATAAAAAAAACTACAAAAGGCCTGTGTATTATCAATTATTCACATGTTAGGAAACAAAAATATTATTTGTTCTAAGTTTCTGTTTTATTTATTTTTAGCTTAATTATCTAGCTATTTTCTGTTAATGTTGATACTTTTTGTTTAAGTTTATACTTAATAAATTTTGTTTATATATTATAGACTATAATAATATTATAGTGTGTACTGTAGTTTGATAATAATAATAATAATAAATAGATATTTCTACCTAACAACTAAATTTACTGTTCTATTTTAACATTATAATAAATTTCAAGAAAACTAATTGTATTATATGTAATTACATCATATTTTGATATTTCATTAACAATTTACCCAATAAAATGCATTGAGTTGGTATATTTTTTATATACTTGGATCATAAATTTATTTATGTTTTGTTTTGAGGAAGGACACATGTTGTTTACTTTGCTGAAATTTACAGTGTTTCCTGCAGTCACTAGCACCCTGTTGAGGGGTAAACATGCAAGCAAAGATAGACTCCAAAAATAAGCATTCAACATAAGACATTCTTCCTTTAATTACAAGAAAAAACCTGTTTGAAAATAGGATGTTTTTCCCAAGTGACAGCTCTGTTCATGATAAATACCCCTGATAGTGTACTACTGCCTTACTTTGTGGGCCTGGTACACGTCAACAACTTCATATTCAGTATTGCCTCTTTCTTTTGATCTAGGATGAAAAATTTTATTATTTTTATTGCTGTTATTGAAAATAAGGTTTTGCAAAATACAAACAAAAAATAGAACAAAATTTGACTATATGATTTTTAATTATATATGTATTGAATCAAGGGTAATGAAAAGATGTAGTAGAGCTATAGAATGGATGTTAAGCTGCATAGCTTTCGATAATAATAATAATAATATACTTTATTTTTACACAGATACCCTTGATTCAAACTAGAGTGTTTTTTGTCAAAGCCATGCAAAGCCATGTAAAGTAACAAAATATAAGGAAAATTACAACTGATTGAAATAAACACATATTAAGTCTTGGTGTTACATAATTCTGTATTGACACATTTTGTATGATGTGATTGGGGAAACATGAATTCATCTACGCATACAACATTGTGATCTGTATATAAATGTGACTACCCACTGTGGCCAATCACAGAATGTTTAGATCAGGATGTTTTCATTCTCCTTAATATTAGATGGACTTTATGACAGGATAATGTGAGAAAGCCTATTTATAATAACACTTCATAATAGTCTTGGATGTCAGACTTCAAATTAAAATGACTTTTGTATGATATTAATCAAAGCATGTGTTATACTTAGTACTACTGGCACTATGGATCTGGAAATAGCGCAGTATTAAAGGTGATAAGATAGATAAGTAGATACAATATTTGTTATACTATTAAATATATTGAACTGTTTTATGTTCTGTTTACTCTCTACTGCTATGTATTATATACTAATGAAGGTAGTATAAATATTAAAGTATGATAGCTCTTCCCTGAGTATAAAACTATAAGGAAATTGGTTTAAAGATTAATTCATTATAGTAACTTATACTGACACAGATAATTTTATTTGACCCAAGACGTCAGAGGGTCAATTGTTTATCAATTAAAGTTTATTACAGATGCTGTTCATGATGAGCTAATGTAGCTTAATATACATCCCACTTCAAATAAATTACCACCACATAATATCATTTACAATTAATGCCTCCTTAAATATGCACAAGTATTATTTTCCCCATTTAAAAGTTCCCTTTCCCAAATGCCTGAAAAAAGTCTATTTTCTGTATACACCCTTGTGTACACCCTTAAATTGACAGTTTAAATTGTAATGTTTTACCAGATTTTACCATCAGACCATACATATAAATTGGGTTTACTTTACAACAACCTTTGAATGATTTGTATCTTGCAGCCAATCTTGGGGAATGAAAGTATGGTAGAAGATGTAGTCACGGACCCAGACACGGAGGAAGCGTTGGCCGAGTTTGATTTCCTTGTATCAGAAGGCGGTGAAGGTGCTGGAGAAGCTCGGACCAGTGGCGACGGTACTGATTGGCTAGGTAGTGCTTAATAACGAAAAGAAAACACGGTGGTCTTAAAAACTTTGACCTCAGTAAAGAATGTTGTATTGACCGTGTGATGAATTGCTAATGATCAATTGATGTAATTTCTGTGCTGTTAAGTTTTCTGCTTGCCCTCCCCCTGTTCTTCATTGTAAATCCTGGCCTGATTGATATTTATTCTCCAGCATCTTGACATGAATTCCATTGGCATTATCTAGGCCAAATGATATGCCTTTATCGTGAAATACATTTTCTATAATTTTGATCTATTTACAATGCCAATTAATTAACAAATCCTGGGAATATTTACTGTAATTTGCAAGGTCATTTTACGTTTGTGCCTGGCTATTTCTATTTAATGTCTAAATAAATAATATTTTAATATAATGTTTATTTTATATTTATATTAAATAGGTATCTAAATTTTGTAGTTTATAGCTGATAGTAGTTAATTTTTATATCAGGAATTTAGAAATATGTGCTTACTGAAGTTCCCTAGTTTGTTTCTTAATATTGTTAGTGTTATTTCTGGGATGTGCAAACAGTAGTTTTGACTTAGCTGTAAATGTCAGGTATTATTGTGATTCACTTCATTGCTATGAGTAGCAACAGTTTGCCAAGCTTGTCAAGTCTCTTTTAGTATTCAAACAAGATTGTCAAGTCTTATAAATATTCAGACAAGGTTGACCATGTTCAATCTATAAACGTTGATTAACAATCAGCGTTTCCAAGCTTGTTCTGATGCAAACCAGACTGAGAAGGTGCCAACGTAATTACCTGCCTCATTTATATAGAAAACATTCCTAATTTTCACTTCCCATAAAAGCATCAGTACTTTTCTCTAACCCAATATTCAATCAACTTTTTTTTCTCTTTGAATGCACTAAGTTAGTTTTAACTGAATTATTAAGGTTGAAAAATGTTTGGCCAAACAACTATTTAACATGGCTGAATTACTATTAATAGGTATTAATGGAATCTTATGTGTTTTGTTCTAGGAACCAGCACTTGTTTTTTTTTTTTTTTCAATTGATGCAGTTGAGTTTTATGCCTCCCTAGGGTGTCAGAATAATTAAATACATTTAAAACCTACTGTATCAGGAACTTTGTTTTCGGCAACTTAACTACAATAATAATAATAATATGCATAATAAACAATTATCTTCTATATATTGCAGTATACATACAAAGGTTTTAGTTTAATTAATATTTTAATTTCAAGACCATTATGTATTGATTCTCACCACCCAAAAAAATTCATTTTGCATGCCGTGGAATGTGTCCTTGCCTGTTTACTAACCAAAATTCATGGGCCCGCTGGAAAACTATGTTGGTAGCCGCCAGCCTAACCCATCTTTGTTCTGCTTGCAGACAAGAAATTGGACTGGGGGGTGGACCAGGGCATGATCAGTAAGCTCAAAGAAGACTATAAAAAGGCACGGAAAGGCAAGAAGCCTGTCGTTCGTAAGTTGAGGGCGCTGTTCATCAGCATGAGTTGCATGTCATCATCTCATTGCATTTTAACAACCGCTTGCTGCTCGTTCACTATGTACTTGATACGTACCGCTAGATGGATGTGTTTTTGAACAGAATCATTTTTTAAGTATCATACTTCATATTCTAATGGTGTTCCTGTAGTGTCGGAAATAAAATAAAAGAAATGCATTGGAATTTGGAAAATAATAAAGAAAGTATGACATATATATATATAAATATATGCCATTAAAAAGTTATGGATATAAAAAAAATAGCAAACTAACCTAATTATAAATTATTATACTTATAAACAATGTTATAAAATATATCATTAAATGGAAAGAATAAACATTTTTGGTAATTATAAGTACATAAAATAATCCAAACGATATCCAATCCAATTGGACATGGGATAATTAACAACAATGACCAATTATAAATAATCTGGAACTAATTAAATATTATACTGGTCGTTGGAGGATTGCCTACTGTTTAATATAAACAAAATTATAATGTTCCTGCTTGTTACTAAATTTATTCATTATCCGGCAACAGACGCATCAAATATTTCACTAAAAGTCATTAACTTGTTGAAGTTGTTCTTCATTTTCATTTTTTTCATTTCTTTCTATCATTTTCTTGTCTTGTATTATCTAGCCTTGATTTCTATCTTGCATTTGTGTATTATTTTCATTAGTTGCTGCTGCATGGTGTATTTGTTTTGAATGTATCTGCCTATTAATATTCATAGGATCAATTTATTAAGCTGATGTTTTTTTCACCCTCAGATTCTTTAATTTTTTCCCGTATAACAAAGTCAGATTATAGGCCCTCTGTATGAGCAGTGGGATATTTAAGGTTTTTAAGATTTTTTTTGCTGTGTAGACCGCATGTCAAATGCTCTCATTTCAATAAACAACTTAAAGGCGATACTGTCGGGTAACCTCGCGGTCTAGTGTTTAGTTTTCTTAATTTTTTTAATATTGGGAATTTTTTTTATTTTTTTTAATACATATAATGCATGTCTGGGCTTATTTTCAAGAGGCATTGTACTTAATATAAGACTAGCAAAAAAAGGGTATTGCACATAAAAAACTCAAATTGGTCATCATTTACTATAAAAGTAGGTCTAAGGCCTAGCAAATGTAACTCATTAGCATGTCCAAATATTAAATTTGGTTGGATATCCTGTTAAACCTTTGCAGAATTTCAGATTCCCTTTTTTTTTTTACTGTTTTATGTCCGTGGCAGTGGGGCAGGAATTTCCCATTTTTGAGTTTATCACTTGTTTAGTTTACCTTGGCATACAACCTGGCTGACGCATTATTACAGAGAACATACTAGGAAATACAACATGTTTATTTTATTTTTATATTATTCATTATGATTATAACAAAAATAATTGTAATAATATCTATTATATAATTTAACATGTCTTGGAAATGTTATGTAGTATAGCAAAGGGAAATAAAATCCAAATAGCTATTGGTTGCGAGATACTCTTTATACTATGCTTTGTCCTGCCATATTACTAGCTTGGATTGTGTGTTGCACATGGGATGGAATTTATAGCACTTTTTGTGGTAGTTATTCGCATAATTATGTATGCAAATTTGAAATAACTAAATTGATACTATGTGCTTCTTGAATTACATATATAAATTGCTGCCTACTAGAAGATGAGTGGATATATTGTTTTTATATTTATTTGTATTTCTAACTGTTGTGTTGAATTTAAAGAAATAAAAATATATTTATGCTCATAATCATGATTTATATCTACAACCATAGATCACTATTTTTTATTATGTTAATAAAGATTTTTTTTTTAAATCATTAGTTTCAATGCTAAATGATAATAACTAAGGAAATTGAAGGTTATTTACGTATGCTAAATTTATGGGGGTCTCTTCAATAAGAAAGTTTTCATGTTGCTTAATAATAATGACCATAACAAAATAATAATAGTAAACATAATTATTAACAATTTATAACCATTTTTACAAAGGTAGTTGATTCATAGTATAGATGTCTACCTGCCATGTATCTTGCATTCTGAACACCAGAATTGCAGTGCCTTGCAAAATAACTTCTTCAGGGTTTATGGAGGGTTATTAATCAATCAAATATGGCAATTAAACCCAAATGCTAGGCTGGTTATCAAAACCATGACGTCATAAATCCATTCCATTATATACTCTGTTATATATTTATGTATAAATTATTAAAATAATGGGTATGTTCTAGTAACGACAGTAATAGAAACATAATTGATTGAGTGTAATACTTGCTTTGTTAAAAAAAATCTTTCTTTACAATAATGAATGCTATGGAAATACTGTCATTCTTGAATCATTACACAATCTGTCCCTCCAGCATTTGAATAAAAAAAGACTCAAGATACTTAAAATAATTTAACTACATACATGCACTTGTTTTTATCAGATGTGTGTTGTAGGTCATATACACAGTGTAGCATAATGAATTCTAGCAAGATCTTGTTAGAATCCAGCCAGAATTATCATAATTTGGATCTAAAATCCAAATTATCTCTCAGTGTGTATATAACCAGCAATAGACATGATTGGTGTCTTAGTTCTTTGAGAAAATCTATTGTAATAGAGATATGAAAATGTATGCCAATCACTATTACAATAGTGATTGTAATAGAGATATGAAAATGTATGCCAATCACTGCTATTTTGAATTTTACAACAACCCATCAGTCATCTGGACCCTATCATGCATTTTTTCTCCTGTGTTTTTATCTTTGGGTACATTTATCATCATTTGGGTACTATTTTTATAAGGTTTTAAAATATATAGTTCTCTATTTGTAAATTAGTCACATTTTTAAATTTCCATTTCATGTTCACAAATTTGGGCCATTTTCCAGCACTTGTAGAAATAATTTACTATATTTCATTTGAGTTGTATTTTGGTACATTATTATTTTATATTATTGTAATCATTAATATTATTGTCATTATTGTTGTTGTTGTTTTTTGTTTTTTTTAATAATCAATTGATATTCAATTTGTAAATATATACGCTCTGCTCTGCTTCAGCAAATATCAGTGTGAAAATTATTCAAAATATTGTACTTTTGTTATTCAAGCGCTTCTAAATTACACTTTTAAAATTGCATTGTGAAATAATGTCGATAAAATATACTAGCTGAATTTTATTGTTGGAAACTTTTAAGTAGTACAATATTTACCCATTGACTTTATATATGTATAGTAAACTTTTAACTTATAAATAGTAAATTATTGATAAAAATTCAGTCGTTGACTTGTGGATAGTGAATTGTTAACTTGCAAATAGTATTCTTTCCTGTAGGTCCAAAGCGCTCAGCATTACAGGCTATGCTGGAGAATCTAGGTCGGGAGGAGAATATTCCCCCACCACCCAGGGGAAAACCAATTCAAGATGTAGATATCCCAGAATCTGCAGGTAAAAAAAAATTCAAATATTAAATGGGAACATAAAAAAAATCCTACGATGGCCAGGTTTTCTCCAGAGGAAACCGGCTAAACTTATTATTATGTTCAACTCAAAAATAAGTTTACCTCAGTATACTGAAATGACATTAGCGCCATTCAAAATACAAAGTGTCTGCCTACACTCTAAAATATATTCTGTAAAAAATATTTGTGATTTGCATATATGGGCATGATGATGTCATATACCCATATATGGGCATGTTGATGTCATATGATATCCATATATCCAAGTCACAGGTGTATGTCACATAAAACTGTATATGAGTGGAGTTTTCATGTAATATGGTTTGATAGTCACCCTCAACTTCTTTCAATTTGCAAACTATTAAAACATGTGTTAGCGTATGTGTCAACACTGTTTTATGGGACCTTACCAACAATATCCAAGGGGCGGGGCTTAGCGGAAAATTCTATTCAACAGAGTAAATCACAGAATGGAAAAAAAAAATATGTACAAAAGAGAAGGAATACGAGAACCTAATTATTTCAGACATCATCTGATGATTGTGTTTTCTTTTAAACCATTCTGTTGGCAGTTTTTCCCAATAATAGATAAAGATTATTTTCTCTCTGACCTACTCTAACACAATTCTTAATCATAAGTGTTTTTCTACTGGGAGTTCAGGTCATTAGATTGTTCACTGACTGTAATTTTTGCAATTTGTTAAGACGTAAATTAACATTGATTATAACGTTTTGATGATATTGAATGCGATGTCTTTCAAATCTCAGCAATTGTTATGGAAGAGGCTTGAATTCCCGAAGTATTTGTAATTGCCAATTATTTTATAAGTCTTTAATTCGACAGTAATGTTGTTGTTTGATTGGCAATATTGAGGTAAACTTGATTTAAGGGGTTTTACCTGACAACAGAAGCAGACAGGAAATACTAACAAAGCATAATAAGCTTTTTGCATTTTTATAGATATTTTCAGAATGCAATTAAACATACTATTATTATTTGATAAATGTAGTATAATTTTTAAACCTTTTTTTTATATAAATTATGTATTGTTAAATTATATGATTATTATTTTCTTTAATTTGTTTATTTTGATTGATCTTAATTACCATATATTCTACGTTGTTCAACTTAAACTATACATTTTATCATATTATATTGTTCTTTTCATATTAATATCATTTATCTATTTTATTTTAATAGGGAGCTACAGTTGTAAAGCTTCATTGTTTATATTTATTTTATTTTGATTATCTTCATGTTAATATTGATTTGCGATAAAATATTGTTGAATTTAAATTTGAACCGTTCTATCAATAAAAGTCAGTCTTTATATCTACTGCATCCCTTGCACTTTTGCCAGTTGCAAATACTATGCAACATTTACAGTCTGGGGAAAGATTTAAGACGTTATTCACGTTTATAAGCCATTAGGTGCAGACTATGTCGATAGTAAATCATAGTATTTTACATACATACTTACATTTAATGCACCTTAAACTGATTTATGGTTTGACTGACTTGATAAACGTAGATGCAGAAGTGTTCTGAATGTACAGTAATATGCAAATTTTATGATAATTTCTATCCTTGATTGACAGCTCAAGGGGCATTTCCAGCTCGTAGACCAATGGTAGGCATCGGTGAAGATGAGGCTATAGAGACAGCACTAGGGTTAGGTGACCTTGCCAAATTAACAGTTTCAAATGAAGCAGACGCCCTCGCCAGTTATGATGTGAGTACACTTGGAGGTGCTGTCAAGCGTTAGTTATATTAGTAATGGTTTATGTGTGGAGGTTGATAACTTAAATGAGTCAATTATATGTTTGGATTAAATGTTGGCGCTTATTGTATGGTGGTGGTTATTCAAGAGCAGCGCTTATTCAAGAATTCATGCTATATATTTAATAATAAATATTAATGTACTTAATTTATAATTTATAGGTGAGTGCTGCAACTAAAGACACATTCAGGAAAACATGGAACCCAAAGTATACCCTAAGGAATCATTTTGATGCAGTACGAACCCTGGCCTTCCACCCGATAGAACCGGTGCTTATCACCGGCTCAGAGGACCATTCTCTCAAGTTATGGAATCTAGATAAGACAGTGCCAGCAAAAAAGCAAGTCAATGTTTTTATTTTTAATTATTATTTCCTGTTAAATGTAATAAGTAGTTTTTGAAATGAATAATAGAGGAAACATGCAAAAAGTTTAAAAAAAAAATATTTATATTAATAGAGGGCGACTGGGGAAGATTTAAAGCAGCCTTCAAGTAGCACTAAGTAATGCTTTATACCTGCAATTGTAAATTGATATAAACAAGATGCTGATGTATGATTTACAATGCAATCGCTAGAAGAACTAGGCTACTTAAGTCAGTGTACATCAATCAGTATTCACACTACATTTACACACAGTAACAAGTTTTTTTTTTTCAACTTGTTAATAAAACAGAACTGCATCTTTGGATGTTGAACCAATCTACACTTTTAGAGGTCACAAGTGAGTATTTCAATATCTTATCTCCATGTATTCATTGCTTTTTCATTTTTTATTGTGTACCTTTATTGTTGTTTTTATTGTTTATTCAATCTTAATCTCAAAGCTGACAAAAAAAAAAGATAATTATAAAATAAATTTAAAGCTTACATGTTAAACAATTTAATAAAATTCACTTTTGAATTAACAATAAAGTAGTATTTCTAGATCATTTTTTCAGTTAAGACTTGGGTAATGTATTTTTATTGTGAATTGTGTGTAACTTATTGTTTATTATACACTTGTGAATTCAGGGCAGCAGTGCTGTGTCTAGCAGTCAGCTCCGATGGGTCAAAGTGCTTCAGTGGTAGTATGGACTCTACCATTTGTTGTTGGGGGATGCCAGATATAAACATGGATCCATATGATTCATACGGTATGTATTTTCTTTCCTTTTATGATTTTTTTTTAGTATCGAATTTAGTGTGTTTTGTGTGTAATTATCTATTAACTTTTACTTATATGGAGATGTAATGTCAATAAACTTATGAAAATATATTTTCACCCACACATGTTGTTCAATCTTCTTGTGTTTTCTTGAGAGTTTTGGAGTTGTATATATTTTCAAACAGAGGCACATATTATATGCTAGTCAGTTTTTTCATTTTGTCACAAACATGTTGCAGTTCAGATTCGGACCACTTGAATTCATCCCAACTGTTAACAGGTGTTAAAATTCACCATATTTATTCAATTAGTGTCCATATGTTCAGTTTTACTGGATGGACCTTGCTATTAAATATCATGCACAAATTAAGTATCTGAAGTATGATTCATCAGTTGATTCAATTGATGTCACATGATGCTTATATTAACTAACATTTTTGCACAGTAAAATATTTACGTGTAAATTAATTATATGATAAAGCATAGATGAGGTATCAAGGACTATCTCAAGGTGTATAACAATGCAATGTTGTGTTATTCTGTTATGGAATATGTAGAGAATTTTCTAAATGTATGAAGTTAATTAACTGTTGGCCTAGTAATATTTTGAACAATGATTTTTCAAAAAGCACAATGATTTTAAGGCACTCAAAAGGATACAGAAGCCAAACAGTTTTTGTTTAAATTAATTAAAAATTAACTTTAAATGTAAGCTATTGTTTTGGATATTCAATTTTATAGTTTATTAGCTTAGACTTGAATGGTGTATCCTTAACAAGTGAAACAGTTCAAAGGAACTTTCATGCATCTTTAGATAATTTATGGATGATAAAAATACATTCTTTAAGTATAACTTCTTCCTGTTCTTCAACCTTGTTGCTATAATCTTGATTTCCGTTACAGATAGTAGTATACTGAAAGAGCCATTGGTTGCACACACCAATGCAGTGTGGGATGTCGCGTTTGATGCCACGAAAAACCACCTTGTGTCAGCCTCTGCAGATGGTACCGTCAGGTTATGGAATCCACAGCTCAAGTCCCCACTTCTAAATACGTATATTGGAGAAAGTGGTAAGTTTCATGCAACAACCAGTGCAATAAATGTGTTTCAGATTAGAAATCTGTATGACTAGAGTTGGCTAGAAATATTGTTGGCTTACTAAATATTATTAAACACACTGGTGCTTATAATAATAATAACATTTTGGTATAATTTATACACCACACTCAATAACTCAGAATGCTTTGCATTATTATCACAAGTCATTAAAATGATGCTTGTATTATTGTTAATGTTAAATATTCTTGTCACTTGTTGTTTATCAGCTTATGGTGTACCGACGTCTGTTGATTTTGTTCGCTGTGACCCATGTCAAGTTATAGTTGGTTACAAATCCTCCGATGCGGTAATCTATGACCTGGAGACAGCAACACCCATTATCACACTGGAAAGCAAGTTAACATCAGAATGTGATGGTTCAACGCAGATTAACTGTGCAATCAGTCACCCAACGCTACCTATTACAATTACTGCACATGAAGACCGCCACATTCGATTCTTTGATAACAACACAGGTACAGCATTATTAAAGTTTTTTTTACTATAATTTCCCTTTAGGGATGTTCTGTAGGGATGTGCAATAATGAGGTCCAATCATGTGTTATAGGATGAGTACACACTTTGAAAAAGAGTAGGGAATAACCTCCTGCTGTATTGTCCTCTTAACTACCAGGAAGACACATTGACACTGTAAGCCATTAGATTTCATGTGTTACCTTTGGTGTATTTCACTCCAAAAAAAAACTCTGCCCTACAAGTGATCAACATATACTGCTGACTGATTAGTGTGTTTTATTTTTTGATATTTCAGGTAAAATGGAACACAGTATGGTTGCCCATCTGGATGCTGTCACCAGTCTGGCCATTGATCCCAATGGCTTATATCTCCTGTCGGGAAGTAAGTAGTGTATATTATTCAAATAATATAAATAAATTGAATGTGGCATACTATATTTAACAAGTTTGATCTATATGGAAGCTTTTATTAAGGATACTCGATGTTCTATATCCAAATTTTTTAAAGAGGCTTGGAATTGCTTTCCAATCCCATGGTTCAATATCTGTCACAATAACAGGACTTTTCTCAAGAACAGAACAACTTCACTCCCTAAGCCTCATATGAGAGACTTGGTCTATGTAAAGCATCATGTGTTTATATTTATCATGTGAAGGGATTGCCACCTAACTAATAGGACAGTGATTAAGTTGCTATTGGTAATCCTTGGCCATGTGCCTAAAGGAATAAATTGGAATTAAATTAAGAACATCTTAACTTCAAGTGACAAATCCACTCCATCAATTGGGTAAATATTGTTGTATTTGCTATTTTTAAATACTTATTATTTCATGTTAAATTCTAGGCCATGATTGCTCTATAAGACTGTGGAACCTAGAAAGCAAAACGTGTGTCCAAGAGATAACCTCACATCGAAAGAAATTTGATGAAGCTATATACTCCGTAGCCTTTCACCCTAGCAAACCCTACATTGCAAGTGGGGGCGCCGATGCTTTGGCCAAAGTATTTGTATGATGTAGACTGTTGTAATTTGGAGCCAGTAACCATGTGGATATTATCAGGTGGCTGTATGCAGATTGTGTTTCCATGGTGGATATATCCAATGTGGATGTCCTCTCAGAAGGAAGATTCCATTTGCAAATACAAGTCATACCCTGAAAGAATATGTGATGGACCATTCCTCCAGTGATGTAGATTCTGGTTACACCTCTGTGTTTCTTTGTGTTATAGTCACACTTGCGTGTGTAAAAACATGTATGTGCGTTAATATTAATAAATACATGCGCATAGATGTATTCTAACTACTGTAGAAGCCATCCATGCTTTGGAGCTGTTATTAGGGTATGTGTACATTAAGACATTGATATTGCACCCTAAGGACCGAACCCCGCTTCACGGTTGAAAACCTGGAGCGCAGATTGTACATCAAAACATTGAGTAGTGAATTTTTATCTGAATATGTGATGCTTCAAAACCTGAAGAGGTTTCTCTTGGTTTAATTTTTGTATGATTTCACCAACTAAATTTAAATGTTTATTATATAAAGACTGATGTAATTGTTTGACAAGAAATAGTGATAAATGAAGAAAGTGTCAATGCTTTCTGTTTTTCCATTTGTAATTGTAGCAAATATATATTGTGTATGCCTGGATAATTTATTTAACTAACTAGCTGTATAGTTTTGCCAATTGCATTTTAAACTTTTGTTTTATTGAATTGAAACTCAATTGCTTCAATGCTCCAATGCAACTGTGGGGCTAAATCAAAATTATCTAATATATTTCAATTATCTTACTGTAATTACCTTAAACTATTATTATTATTATTATTATTATTATTATTATTATTATTATTATTATTATTATAACTGTTATTGTTATTGTCCTTATTTTTATTATTTTATATGATGATTATTATTACTACTGTTAAATTTGTTATAGTAATAATTAAATTTGTATTTGTTCTTATTTTATTGTTATTCAAGTCTTTTTGATGATTATTGTTTTTTTGTAAGTAATAGATTAACTTAATTCATATTCCTATTTTCATTGAACATGTGTAGCTGGTGGAGTTGATTTGCTTTGAAATATATGAGTCGTGAAAGAAATAAACATAGAATGTAGTATAAACAGTTGCGCATACCCAAGTATTCCATATAGAACATACAAATATAATGTAATTGACAGTCTTTCCAACTGTAGGTGGCAGCAGATACATTTACAGGAAGATCATGCAACCCAAGATATATAACAGTAAATGCAACATAGTGCCAAGTTTTATCCACACGATCAAATGTTATATGCAAATTTCTGTAAGTTGCCCATATATGGGCATGATGATGTCATATACCCATATATGGGATAATCGTTGTATGGGTCACATAAGATTTGATAGTGTGGACAGAACTAATTAGGAGTACATACTGTGATAAGAGCAAACAATTAAAGACGCAACAGCTAAAACTGTATCATGTATCGCTTTATTGTTTCTTGGATTATCTACATGCATGTGTTTATGCAGATTCAACCCCTATTGTAGAAATGGTCCCCATGCCTCTAATATTGCACAAGGCATTTCTTAGGTTTACCACAGAGATATAATAACCCATTATTTCACAATTCGATGTATGTATGTTTTTTCTTTCTTTGATCTCCAGTACTTCCAGGGAGCTCACTTGTATACCATTCTTTGTGGCTATGTATCAACGGTAGGTTTACAGGTTTAGCACGGAGGTTAGCAAAAAATCTTCGCTAAAATCGTGTGAAAAATTATGCTATTGAGATACAGGACGGAGCAGGGACTTTAACTACCAATTTTACCAAGTCCACAAAAAAACCCCCGTAAATGTGACACCTACTCGTATAGAAATATTTAAGAGTGAGCCCCACGGGCTGGTACAACAAAAAAATATACTAACTTAGGTAGGTAAGCCAGGCACACCCACTGCGTTCTACGGATCCAACTCCTCTTCCTGTGAGCACTTGATGGTACGACGTTGTCTGCTGATTGTCAGTGTCAGTCTGAGCTGATCGTCATTAAGAATGTTTTGTTCCACGACCATTGTGCAGTTATGTTCCACCTACTTTGTAATGTTGCATTCCATGGGCTTTGTGGTGTTACGTTCCACAGGCATTGTGATGTTACATTCTCACAGGCATTGAGGTGTTAAGTGTTCTCACGGGCGTTTTGGTGTTACGTGTTCTCACGGGCATTGAGGTGATACGTGTTCTCACGGGCATTGAGGTGTTACGTGTTCTCACAGGCGTTTTGGTGTTACGTGTTCTCACAGGCATTGAGGTGTTAGGTGTTCTCACGGGCGTTTTGGTGTTACGTTACCGTCGAATGCAGTGAGTGCTGGGCCTGATATTTTCCATAATGTCCATTTATTATGATTCTGTGATCAACATTAGTAAATAATACAGTGCAACCATAGATAGGTAATGTACAGTACCTGTTGTAAACAAAGAGTCCACCAATAGCACAACATGGAAGCATTATTCTCAATAACAGTTTGCAATCTGAATTATTATTGAATATTATAAATTATATTTCAATATTGACCTAGTGCACTTGATGTTTAGCTAAACCTATTAACAACTCCATGAATCAAATAACATTCCAGTTTATATTTTTATCAACAAAGGCAGCTTGTGTCTTAGGTGGAACTATAATTCTTCAAATTTTCATGCTCAGTTCTGTTTCAAAATTACCAACAAATTAATGATCAATATAGTAGAGGATTTAAATGCATTTTATCAAATGTCTTCAAGCATTAGCAAAACTGTTGACAACATTTTTGCTTTTTGTCCACAAAATTTATGTGAAATCAAATGGACACCCAGTTTTTATACCTGTATTCGACAATTTCTATATATTACACATTTTCTGTATAAGAATACATCACCTAACTTCTAAATAATACCATGATAAAATCATGTTGTGTAACCAATTGTGTCCATGCCAGTGTTGGAATCTACGGTGTCATATAGTTTAGGTAGATACATGCCATCAATGTAACATGCCATACAGGGCTTCGAACTTGATATTAGGATCATTATTTGCATCTTGATGGATTTTGTGTGTCAAGAAAAACAAAACATAAAATTGAAATTCAATGTTTGATTTGCTCACATTTATTAGCTTATTGTATAATATAAAAAACTGTTTTCTTCGCTAAGTAGCAATGCATAAATACTATATATTATTTGCATATCATTTGCATATTCATATATTCTTTTCATAAGCTTTTGAATTTGCTGGTAAAAAAATTAATGATTTCTGTGGATAAAAATCTGTGAATCAAATGATAACTGAATTTTTCTTATATGTGTCTCAAAGGTTAACATCTAATTTGTTACATTTAAATGAGAAATTTAATGTTTTCAATGAATTTTGAGTTTTTTTAATTTCATATGTGGTCACATACAGTGTATCTTAAATGATATACTGTATAAAAGTTGTCATAAATGATTATATGTAAATGTACAAATTAAATGAACTGATAACTTCCAAGATAAAAATATAATATTGTTTATGCCTTCTATTATTCCAAGACATAAACAGTTATTTTCTATAATAGATCATCATAATATAATAGTATCATCAACTGAAGGTGAAATAATTTTAATTGTTTATAATTATCAATAAACAAATTTCATATCAATGTCATGAATTTGTAAATATTAAATATCCTGGCAACATTAGGTCATTTGTAACTACATAATTCATCAGAAGTTATATTTCTTTTCTTATTAACAGATATATTTAAAATGTCATATGAACTCATTTGCTTTGGAAAATTAGTAATACAGTATAAAGATTTTAAGTTTCGTTAGCATTTGGTGTGATAACTTGTAAATTTCAGTATTTGAATTGCTTGGGTTGAGTAAGTTATAATCTGTATCAAAATTGACAATGGGCAGGATTATTTTTCTTATGCAAGTTTAAGCATAGTGGGAGCAATAGTATCCAAGGGTGGGGGTGGGGGAGGCTTAGCAGGACATTCCATTGTTCTGCAACATAATGATAGCTAATTAGAATGAGCAATTCAAATGTTTTGAAATTTTATTATTGTCCTGATTGTAACACATATGGTGTAAAGTACAGCCATGTATTTCATTGCTTGAAAACCGATTAAAAGTTGCTTTTAGCATGTTTTGTTGTTACAATCATATTTTGTAGCACTCTCATTTGGAGAACACAATACAATATATAAGAAGTTCTGTTACCTATGTTAGCAGATCATGAACATATAAACCCAATTTCTTTCATGGTTTAAAATAATTTCCAAAAATATTTTGGTGGAAACTCCTACTTAATAATTATTGCTTATCTTTATAAGAGCGAAGTTAAATCGACTTCTAAATGGTTGTGTTAAGATTTTGAATGTTTTCCCAGAGATGACTGCCACCTATGTTGAATGGTCAAATAATCCATTCCTGGAGATGGCTGTTTCCCCTCTGCTGTGAATGGTTAAAGAATCCATTCCGAAAAAATAATTATACCCCTCTGTTGAATGGTTGAATGTAGCGTGTTGTAAGTCTAGACGAAAATATTAGATTGCAAGAGAAATTCAAAAATTAAAAAATAAAAACAAATTAAAGCAAGGAATTTTGTTTGTTTTATTGGTTGGTAGTTCTGATAAAATATTGTACATAGTGTTCCTGAGATGAAGTTTCTTTCATATTATAGCCTACATCAAACAATTACAAATGCTATACTGTAGAAGAATGAACTGTCAAACTTCACAACTGTCAAACTTCACAACTGTCCTATATACGTAGAAGGCCATGCAACACGCACTTGATTTCATACATTTACGCTGTCGTTTGGGGCCTTAGCAATAATATCGAAGGGGAGGGGCTTAGCGCGTGGTCCATCATCTCCTCGCTTGGATACGTTGAGCTGTCGGTATATTCCTTTATTGTCATTTGTACCGGTAACATTTACATTGAAATAGCATCGCAAGGGACGACTCTTGAGTAGAAAATGGGTGCTGCCTTGGCTAGAAATAATTCATCTTGCATTATTGTTATCCTTTTGCATATCCATACATCTACACTTGTTTTTCAATCAAGGAGACATTACATTAACAGCGGAAAACATAATATTATAGTGTTGACTAAAACATACGTGATGGTGTCCGGCGAGGATAGTTTTACTCGTGTTATATAACATTTCATTTTTATTTATTGTTTACTGCTTACTATTACATTTAGGCCTAATGGTTTAATGATTTTAAATGTAGAAAGTGCAAAATACGAAAAGAAATTAGTGAGAATAAGATCACTTTTCCAAAAAAAAAAAGAAGTCTATTTTGAAGTCGGAAAACATCAAAATGTCGACGCAAACACCGAAGTTTGGGAGGGGATGGCGGGGAGAAATTTCAGGAGGGGGATGGGTGCTGAGCTTTCGTTCCATTTGACCAGACCAATTCTAGGGTGAGCGCTTTCGGAGTGGGCACTGAATTAATAATTTCCAGGTTAGTAGTAGGGGGGATACTATCCTGGGCAGCAATTTTCGTCGTTCAGATAGCTTGGCTTGGCTGACTATGTCATAACATTCAAATTGCACGGTGAAAACAAGCTTGCCAGTAAACATTATCATAGACACACACGTCGTCCCTAAATAAATCTTCTCAATATTGAATTTCAGTATGATGCTTCAGTATGAAGTTTGGAAAATATAAGGTAAGTAAAGCAGGTTATTTGTCTACTACAGTATACGGTACTGTAGTTGTACAAGTGTTGGTTATAACATATACCATTGCAGCAGCCATTGTTGTGTTGTTGTTTCAGGCCAGAGACTGTGTGGGAAATAAATTGGTTTGTAGAGACTCATTTTTCTTTATCTTGTGGACTATTTTACATCATAGTAAATCCTAAAATACCAGAGTGAAAATGCATGTAAACAGTACCGGTAACATTATAAGAGCTAAATATTTGTTGTGTAATGACACACCGTAGGTTTATGCGCATAATTATACAACACACAAACAATGTACCGTTGATCTAATATGAATAATAAAAAATTGTCTTGAAAATTATTTGAAAAATAACGGGATTATATAATTGCGTGTTTACTGTTTAAACGTTTTAACGGCACTGCATCTCCTAGACTTCGTAATGAAATAGAAATGGTATTTGATAGACATGGGTATAATACACAAGAAATGCTCATTCACTTAATATTGTACCTCCAAAAGTAAATTTAATTACAACCAAGACTTTATTCAAATATGCTGGTGCAAATAATTGGAATAGAATACTGCATATTTTAAAAGAATCAACTAATTCTTTAAATTTTAAATTAAATTATAAAAATATAATTTATAATACATTCTAAATACTAAATTAAGTTACCGCTTTTTAAATACCTTCCATCTTACACTTATATATTTATGATTTTATCAAATATTTTGACTCAGCTGTTTCTTTTTAACAATTTTATTAATCCCTTCACTGTACTTTACTATTTTAATATTTAATTAAGGCTTTTATCATTATTTTATTAACATACCTTGTAATTTTAACTTTTTCAATGTATTTTAACATAAATGCAATGTACAGTATTATGTGATTTAGATTAAGGTTGTTATTGTATTTTTAATTAGGCCCCAAGTCCTATTCAATTTCATTAATATCCAACTTTTTGATATTTTATATACTGTAATCTTGTATCGTAAAACAGAATCATATGTAAAAACAGGTTGTTACATCCACCTTATACCATCCTGTGTAAATATGTTCAATAAATAAATAAAACGTAAATATCAGTATCCATTACCATTGGAGGAGGTATGGGAAATAAATATTGACGATTTGTTTGGTTTTTTTTTTAGTTTTTACATAATAAATTGGAATCAATCAATCAATTATATTTTCGGAAAATTTTTCCATACGTGGCAAAATTATGAACGTCATAAATTTTCCAGAAAGCATTTCAATCTAACGTAACAAAGTTTATGCTACTCCACAAACGTCAATTTGAATATATATTTTGAATGTTTTTCTTACTCGTTCAATCTCTCTTCATTGCAGTGCCTCAAGTCAAATTTACCGATCCATCGAGAATTGAAGTGTGAGATCGATTTATAATCAATTGCCGGGACACGATGTAGGCCAACTATCAAAGCCGGATTTAATTAGTCATCTGAAAATAATCACGTGCCTATATTTATTAGGTTTTATACCACTGGATGGTTCAGTCTAATTTCGTGTCATGATTTAATGTTCATTTTTTCAGGATTTAGTTAATTTTGCATATTATGTTTATTGTACAACGAACAAGTATTCCTCGAACGATATATATATATAGTTAAAATATAATAAGGTCTATTATATCTTTGTGCTTGATTTATATAACGTTTATATAGTGATGTAACACATGTTAGAAATAAATAAAAGTTCACGGATGTGTAAATTGAAATACATGATTGTGTACTTTCTTTGTCGTAATTGGATTAATAATGATTAATGATATCAATTGGTATATAATCGAATTAAATATATTTAAAATCAATTCGAATCGAATATACCACTATTATCACATAAACTGTAATACTGTATTCCCAAATATCCATATGATACTAACAAATTGCGACGACTTTCAGAGCATGGTGCCAGTGGATTTTACAAAACAGGAAATGACGTCTGTTGCTAGGTTACATAGCATGCATATTCAGTAACACCTGTGCTCATTAGACTAACAATAAAAACTTTTAGCTCAGTTTTGACAAAATCGACCAAAAAGATTTTATTGTTAGTCTAATTAGAGCAGGTGTTACTGAATATTCATGTTGCCTAGCAACCACGTCATTTCCGGTTTTATATTTGTTGTTGAGGGCGTCGTCTTCAAAAAATTTCATCTGGATTTTATTGCTATAGTTAAATAGCCAAAGTAGCTAATATTGATTGATGAAGCTGTTATTGACTTCACTTTTGGATGCAAGGATGTTTTAGCTATTAGATTTATTAAAGTAATCAAAGACATTGAATAAAAGAAGCAATCCTTAATTCCATTTGATCTTTATTTCCAAGCATTGAAATCAAGTTGGGATATTTTATACACATAAATAATTACAGTATATTACATGTACATTCGGCAAACAGTCAATATGCCTGATTCTTATCCTCATAAATTCATATCTTTTCATCTTACATATAATATGCCTATATTCTTTAGAACAATATTACTGGCTATTTTCTCTATTATTAAGATAAACGTTACTAGTTATTTATTAATAAATGTATAAATCCTACAAGAAAAATATTATAAAAATTAAAATTCACATAATATTTTAAGTAATATCTTATCCAAAATGTTTGCAGGAAGCTTGATGAATGATAACAATTTGTCTGATCTCTATCAATAGTTGGTAATCTCTGCTGCCCTTTACGATCACCATATTTGTGGATTTCTTTCTACCTCACTGGAAGAGAAAAAATATTGAGAGAAGTTTTAAAAACAGAAAGATTTTTAACGAAGCAGTAACAACATATTGACACAAAATTGGTGAGCCACCCCAACCTGAACATTATCGTATTCAGTAGTCTAATTTCATGGACGATGCTGCTGATACAACATAGGCCCTAATGGTATTTCAGGGACCGCACAGAGGTACCCCTTCCCCCACCGTCGGGGAGAAAAGAAAGACAATTCGTCGGGGAGAAACAAAGTATTTATTACATAGGCCTATTAGTAGACTATAAAATCGATTAAAACAATCAGCCTTTGAAACCCCTAAATTGTCATTGTTTCCGTTGGGTTCTCCCCCTGCACCACTTCCCAGTGATTTTGAGCGACGCCCGACCACGCCCACTTACACTCTCATCGGGGACCGCTCCCCGTCCTCCGTCAAACAATTTTCGGTATATAATTAAATATATACTGTCTGTAATAATAACTTAATACGATTATCAAACAAGCTAGTAAGATAATAATAGGTACAGCTGTGAAACTATTAAAATGTTTATGTATAAATGACATGTTATCCAAGAAATTACAATGCCTGATGTTACCCACCCAGTTTATGATGCTATTACTCTCAGTAAATCTGACAGATTATTTCACCCTAAAGTTAAGACTAACCGGTTTAACAACAATCAGCAGTCAGACATTTTAATATGCAGATAAACCATATTGTACAGTTTATTTTGCCCTTCCATCACAACTCAGTAATCCTTGCAATGTATTTTATAAATTTAAGCAATTTCTGTTAAGCATCTTGTATGTATTTTAATTATATTTCTATATTTTTCTACTAATATGAGTCTATTTAAGGATCCATATCTCATAGCTAGCAGTGTATATACCGTTGTGACAATAAAGTTTGATCGTATCGTATAGTAATGAGCTAAACATTTGTAGTTCCACATTTTATTTAATTCCATATTTAAATTATCAATCCTTAGGCCTATTTAAATATTATTATTATAATTAATAACTTAAATTTTAAAAATCTGAATGAGAAAAATTTTTCCCTGTCAATTACGGTAACAAACAGTACATGTTGTATTCTTATAAACAGACAATAATAATAATAATAATAATAATAATAATGATGATGATGATGATGATGATGATAATAATTTTATTCTGTATTCACGATAAAACTTGACTTAACAGAAATTTAAAAAGTTGTTTTTCAGCAAGGCCGTGTCGGTAAACTAATTATACACTTAAATCAGAATCTAACAATACGCATTATAGGCCTATTTAGTTAAAACATTCCTCCATGATTAAAACATCTGGTAAAACATCATTTAATGAAAATACGACTGACTTGCAAGTTGACATTTGAAAGCACGAATGACAGAAATATGTAGCCTGTTTAAAATCGTATGGTATGTCCCATTTTGATTCAGAATAACATTGATATCGACATCATCGCGTATATCCATGTCGATATAAATATCCCTCTCTTGCTAAAGACGGCGTCATTTCATTTAATGTTTGAATGATTGTCAAAAAATTAATATTATACAATTTCAGATTCAGTACGTGCTTTCAAAAAAAGAAATAAACTTGGAAAATTCGCTGATAAAGACCCAGAAGAAGAAAAGAGGAAAGAAGAAGAAAATAAGAAGAAAGAGATTGAGGAAGAAACATTAGCAAAAACTATTACTGTAGGGTCACGGTGCGAGGTCAACAATCCCAAAGTCCCTCCTGTTAAACGAGGCACAGTGAGGTTTGTAGGTGAGTAGTGTATCTGTCTCTTATACACATCTAGATGTGTATAAGAGACAGAACTTAGTCAACAAAATAAAAATGTATGGATAGCATTCCCATTTAACTATTGAATTAACGATGCAAAATGTTCAATAATAGGCCTACTCACATTTGTTTTAATTGTAAAGTCTTGGTACCCTTCCAACTGAATTATTGTTTATATGTAAAACGCCACCCAGAGAAGTATAATTTCTAAAACTCCATTTCTTTTATGATGATGAAAGTAAGTGAAAAGTAATTGGTTTATCAAGTAGAAATAAATATCAAATATTCGGGACCCCACATTGCGACTACTGTTTTATTGACTGGTAATTAAAACGATGATGGAGAACACTCTGCCGCCCTCTAAAGTTTTTTGTGAAAACAATTAAATGAGTGAGTGAACTATCGACAACGGATGGATGGATTGATATTGAGAACTTTCTGGAAATAAACCGTGTTTATTAACTAAAGATGTCGTTTACCGTAGTAACACAGGATTTAGTAGATGTTGCTATATCAAGTTCATTAAATTCATTTGGTAGCCGGCGTAGATTTCAAAAAGATATAACTGTTTCTGAATTAAAGGTACGATACGAACCTAGGCTCTAGGCTTGGCCTAGCCTAGTCTGTCAACATACCCAGCCAGGAGATACATCCACCCACTTCGTCTAGCTTGTGTAAAACCTGGCCTAGCTACTCTGCTACTAGTCTAGGCCTAAGGCCTAGGCTAATTAATTAGGTATTAATAAAGCTGAAATCAGCTAGGCCTACTCTCAATCGTGTGCCTCACTTTCATTCAAATTGCTCAACACATGGAGCAACTTCTGTGCCAGCAATTGAAGGTCAATTACTTGTTGCTAGCAGGAATTACACCATGGTTTTAGTAGTAGTTTCTTGATGCCCCAACCTAGGGATATACCAGTAGAACCGGTCCGTAGCACCTTTTTGCAGTCTACAGACTCAAGTGCAGCCTATGGAAAGTTAATGCAGTATCCAATATGTGTTCCAATTATTTCTTCATTTTGTTTCTTATTCTTTCAGGGTAAATTAGAGATGATTGTAGGTTCATCATCCGCATTTATGGAACTGCAGTTGTTTGATGAAAATAACAAGATGGTAACGTCAATGGCAGATGATGCTGCCCTCCTTGGCTCATTCCCAATTGATGACAATATGAGGATACATGTAAATATTATTAATATCGTTGGTTTTGTTGGTAAGAAATTTGGTTGGCAGATTGTTGAGTTGTGATCAGTGATGGCTCCACAAATTTGCCAACTAGGGGTTCGACATGTCCGACAGCGGGGTCAGAACCAAGGGGCTGACTAGAGCCTCAATCAGAGTCTCGGGGAAAAAAATCCTGGTAGGATTCATGGGGAGTGTTTTTGTGGCTTAATATGACCCAAAATTGTGCTTTTAGACCACAATATTAGGGATTGGCAATCAAAATAACGTTTAGGATAGGCAAATTAACAATTATGGCCTCGTCTTGGCTGCTAGTACCACAACTGGTTGTGATATGAACAGTTGTGTTAGATGCAGAACTTGGTATCTGTTTATCAGAATGATAAAATTTTTAATTTGCTATTGACAGTACTTTAAAGAAATTAATTGTTATTACTGAATATCATTTTTGTATTTGCAGGTTATTGATAAAGATCCAAACAGGACAGTGGGTGAATATGAAGATGTGTCAAAAGTAGAGAAATTTGAAATTACTGCTCAGGAATATGAGGCTAGATCTGGTAAATAAACAGAGGGGGGTGTGCACTGATGATGGTAATGGCGGTGGTGATGATGAGAATGAAGACGGTAGCGATAAAGGTGGTGGTAATAATGGCTACGTAATGTTTGAATGATTGTCAAAAAATTAATATTATACAATTTCAGATTCAGTACGTGCTTTCAAAAAAAGAAATAAACTTGGAAAATTCGCTGATAAAGACCCAGAAGAAGAAAAGAGGAAAGAAGAAGAAAATAAGAAGAAAGAGATTGAGGAAGAAACATTAGCAAAAACTATTACTGTAGGGTCACGGTGCGAGGTCAACAATCCCAAAGTCCCTCCTGTTAAACGAGGCACAGTGAGGTTTGTAGGTGAGTAGTGTATGACAGCAGCTCTGCAACACAATTGTGTCAATTGTTGAATAAGATTATTGAGATTTTTTTTTATTGTTTTAGAGAGCGAAGACATATTATACAGTATTAATCTTTATAACAACAATTATCAAAAATAATTTAAATTTCCACCACCAGCAACAAATGACTGAAGAAATTAGGCAAGCACAATAGCCTCCCAGGAGGAGCTAGATTACACACATGTGGCAGGGCTAGGCCTATATGCGTTTTACCGAAGAGTAAAGAACTGCAAGAGGTCCGATTCTCACGGTTTCATTTAAACGTAATCCTATTTTAAAAAGTACTGCCACCTCAAAAGTCGATTTTAAAAGTGTATTCTAATAGGGCCTCCCCATCTCATGGCGGTACTTTTAATGTTCCATACCTTGCAGGGTTTTACCAGCGCCATAGTTTTGTGGGTTGAGTTGCTCTGCCATCGTGGATTTTCTTGCTACTTAATGAATGCTTACACATGAATACTCCTTATCACAGGAAAAACAGACTTCAAGCCTGGATGGTGGGTTGGCATCCAATATGATGAGCCTTATGGCAAAAATAACGGAAGGTGAGAAATAAAGGCTTTGTGTGGTTTCCGTAGCAGTATTTTGTCAAATAAAATTGTATGTATGAATTTTAAGTTCAAACAGTGGCGTATCGAAGGGGGGGGGGGGGTGCACATGCCTAATCATCGAGCCACCACCCATTTCAACACTCTTAGATACACCACTGGGTTCAACATATTTAGCGTTGGATATTATTTGAAGTCGCTCAACTTTTTAAACAACCCTATCATGAAAGGTATAATTTTTCAAGGATAGATTTGTATAATATTAATTTATGTATCTATTTACATTCTAGTGTTGGTGGTAAACAGTATTTTGAATGTCCGGATAAATATGGTGGATTCATCAAACCAAACTTCGTAAAAGTAGGCGACTACCCAGTGGAAGACGATATGGACGAGATGTAAGGATAACATTGTCCAGTATGCTGCATTGTGATTGGCTGGTTGAGGGAAGCAAATATAGTGTGCAATTAAAATGAGAATATTTGTGAAAGCTTTGGCTGATGTTGGACTAACAACGCATAAGAGTAAACAAGAAACCAGTGTATTTATACAAGTGTACATTATTTGCTGTATTTTGACAACTGATACAAAAGGTGTGCTTAATAGTAAATAGTACATTATTTTACAATAAAAATATATTGGCAAATTTCAGAATTTCAACACCATCTCAACAACCATAAACTTTGGGCAGAGAAAACAATGCAATGCTTGGTTGCACTAATTTGGGATATATAAGATTTATCAAGAATGATGTTGTAAGTTGCACTCATTTGCAGTATCTTGAGTTGCAGTTTATAAACTGGAATGTAATACCACTGTATAGCTGTTAAATTCAATTTTAAGTATTATTTTGTTTTTCCTATGAAAACAAATTAGTATGGTATCTGCCCACGAGTCATAAACAAAGATGATTCTTATGTTATTTTTTTATATTCATAAATTTAATTTTTACACATTGAATAATTTGTTTATTTCATTCAAAATAACATTCTGGCAAGTATCACAGATACATGCCTTTAATATTTTATGCATCATTGTTGGCTTTGAAAACAAATAAATGAATTTAAAATCTGATTTTACAATTTGTATTTAAAACATATAAAACTGTGTATTGTATTAAGTATATCATCTCACACTATACCAATTAGAAATACTGCTGAAACTACGGACAAAGATGATAAATTTGTAGGCTGTGACAACCATCAATGACAGTTAACTAAAACATCACATCTACATAAATCATGGTGTGTGAGGGTGTGTAAGTATGTGTTTTTATGTTTGAATCAAGGTATAAGCACATGAATTCATATTGCGCTGTTTATATACTGTACATGGAATATAACTACTGTACTTGTATAAATATTTGATGGTAAACCATAAGCACAAAGTAAATATAACAAAATAATAATGGTAATGAAACTAGATTTAGATTATTGGCAATACGACTAACACACTATTTAAAAATTGTGCATACATTAATTGCTATATCTTAAGAGGTTGTTTCACATTCATGTTTGTTGATGGTCAAGGAATAATCAGTGGGGGAGGGGGACATGCAACTGGGTCTATTTTTAGAAACAATTAATCCCAGATGATTTAGGACCAGGCCAGAATTATACAGACTAGTTCTTACATGAAATAGATAATCCCATGGAATAGCTGCCATTTAGATTCTTGACTGTTCAGATATAACATGAACAAAGAATGTAACTAATACAAATTTATATATTAAAAAGCACTTGTGCTTACACTGTATATGCACAATCATATAAATATAGCATCAGGATTGGCCAATTATCAACTATGCATTACATAAATAATGATTAAATTGCTATATAAATGATAATAAAAATAATTATGGTAAAAGTATTGATGCTAATAATATTAAAAGTATTATTATTAGTAATAATTATGAAGTTGTTAATGAATGGTAATAAAAAGCATCTTCCAAGATCTTTTTACATTTTTCATGGAAGACAATTATTTTCTCTACTCTCCCTTCCCTTTACAAGGCACTGAGGAAAAGTGCTTAGCTAAAAGTTAATTACAAGGTGACATAGGTGTTTCATAACTTTAACAATTTTTAGGAATGGTGTATGGAATAGCTTAGCTACGTATTAAATACAAGGCGATAACAGGTTCTATAGGAATGGTATGATATAGCATAATATACAGAGGACTTTTGGTTAATTATTAAATTATAAAATAAAACCAGTTCCTATACTGTACCTGCAATCAACGAATCATATTACAGCATTGACTCTGTATGCCCACCCCAACTCAAGTTGGGAAATTAATTCAACAAAATTCATATTTCTTATTACATAACCATTCTGGTGTTTAATTTAAATGGTATAAATAATTCATCATATAATTTCTCATAAATCTTCCATTCATACATACACATTCATAAAATCATCTGCGTACAGGAATCAGAGGGTTTGGGTCAATTGAAGCATAATAATAACAAAATAAAATTGTATAATAATAAAACCAATACTCATCTGTAGAGAGAAAATTTACTGTTAAGTAATAAATGTGTCAGATTTTAAACATTACAGTACATACAAATTGGATTTCATTTTTTTTACAAGATTCATATAAATGTATATTTCTAATTGCTCATTTTATCAAGGATTTTCTGTGGAAAATATTACTTTTAATCTATGCACCACAGAATATAAAATAATAAAATTTACACTTTATTCAATGATATAACTATAACTAAATCAACTTAAAATCTTACTAGCGCCATTCAAAAATTGTAAAAATATATGATGGCTAAATAAACAACAATTCATTTGAGATTTAAGTGAGATGTTGACCAAAATGAGCGGAACCTCAAAAGTGCAAGTAAAATGTATATTTTTGACAAAGGTTCATGCTCATAATATTGGATTTCATTCCATATCTGCCACTTGAGGTTTATTCTATTGTCATCACCCCCTTTGCTACATAATCAAGCTTGATAATACGAAGTTATACCATTACTGTGATAACAATCTGATGGTACAGTACTGAGGTAAATAAAGAAATCTCAAATAACCCACGTATTAGAAATGTGGATTTGCAGTACTACACCATGTTGTGGTTGCTTTGTTAATTCAAATGATGGATTTTGAACTGAAGGGGTATCAAATATTTCTCATACTACATGTACCAGTATAAATGAAGACCATGTGAGGCAGAAAAACCCGGTAAACATAAGTATGTACATATTACAAAGAATAAGATTTGGGTGAACCAATGGTTGACATGACTTTAACCTATAAATATAAACAATAAAACATTCTTGCATCATGTCAAAGGTCATTATTTTGTTCCAATCATGTTGGATTAGGATACAAGGGTTTATGATTTCAGCTTTTCTATTGGGCAATTATTGCTAGAGATTATAAGATATGAAGAATGTTAATACGTTCAACCTAACCAAGAAACTGGAACCCACTGTGGCTCTGTTTCGATACGCTCAATCTCGGTAATTAGATCTTCCAACGCTCTATCGTGGTGATGGTGCACCAGTATGAAGTCGAAGTAATGACCATAGAGATCCTCCATTGTCCTGCCGGTCTCGATGATGTCACGCAAAGCTTCTTCCTGTGTTGTGCAACAGAAAACAATAGCACTAATTAACAACAGTGACTCAACAGACCTGAGGTCTTAACTGGCAGTCTTAACTTTTCGAATAAAGCCGGGTTTATCACTAAGACGTTCTTACTAAAATCACACCGCTAAGACCATTGCTATAAAACAGCTTCACTTGACTGCTTTGAGTATTGAAAACACAAACAAGCACGCCCTGGTAACATAAAATTGAGGGCGCAGTTACACATACTTCACGCTTGCTCGACACATGCATATGTATCAAAATGAACGCAAATAAACATAGACCGGTTTTTGCAGACAACGAGAAGCTTGCGGAATATTCGTCTTTCGATTTTTGGTCTTTGACGATCTAGGCCTGGGTTTAATTCCTGTAATGCCAAGATGATAATGACTTAAGACCACTTAAAGCCTCCTCCGAGTAGGCTTAAAAATTCAAGACAGTTAACTGGTTAAACCGCGGTATAGCAATGGTCTGTAATCATAGACAGTAGTAACGTCACGATTATAGCCAGCTAAGTGTTAAGACCATCTAAAGAACGCTTATAGCAACCCGCCCCAAAAAAGAAAAAAAACCGCCATCATCAATGTCCTTACAGAGGGACTCACTATTTGTGTATTGTAACTTACCTTTAGTGTCTCCCCAGCTTCAGCTCGTTGTTGTCGTAAACGGTCAATAGAGGGTGGGTACACAAACACAAAGTATGGTTTCAAATCAGAATTTTTCAGAATCTTCAATGACTACAACAAAACAAAAAACAGTGAAAAAATGTCATACCACCTCAAATCCTAAGATATAAATTTATCATTTCTGTTCACTCAACAGAAATGTTATTATGTTGATAACACTATGAATTTCGATTGCTTCCATGCTTTGCTTGTGTAGGGAGGAAGTGAGAATGTTTTTGGTTTGAAGTATAGAGCAGCTGTTCTGGATAAATGATAGAACAGTATTATTATGCAATATTAAAGTAATCATGATTAAAAATATAAAATTATAATATAGACAAATGCAAAACTAATAGGATAAATTAATATTTTTTTAGTTAAAATTTATTAAAAGACAATGTAGATACAGTATTAATAATTAATTTACACAAGGTTGGAACTAACTAGTAAGCTGATTGATTAATAAACTTTATAAGTTGAATAAATATACCTTAATTTTTCACTCTCATAATAAAAGAGAATATGTATAAAATGACCTTAAGATCTCTTAAGGTCATTTTATATATATTCTCTAATAAACTTTATCTTCATTTATATAAAGATTAATTCTAAGCTTACCTATTCACATTAGTGTACACTCTGGTATGCATGGTTTGATATTACTTCATACGACACAAACACATAGCAACTGTTTCAAAGTAGCATGATATTTCTACAGTGATATTTTGAGACAAATATGTACGCCACACAGATTCAGTTTGCTACCATACGTGAAAGCAGTACACAAAAAAAACCTGCTTATTATCATTTAGAACATGCAGTGAGTAATTATGAAACAATATCCCCAATGGATATCACGTACACATATGTAAACATTGCTGAGCTTTGTTTTGAGTCTGCTCACGTGTTTTTTCTCATGTGTGACAGGGTTTGAGCAATGAGATCTACAGCTGTTTCGAGCATTATCACAAGGAAAATGAGCATGCAAATTTATTCAGTTCTTTACTATGGCGTGTCACATGAATACACATACAATCCCACATGCAATAAAAACAATTTGTTCCATATGTTTAATTACCTAAATGCCTGTAGTAAAAATTTGGAGAAAAAAAGCCTATAGGAATATGAGCTAAAAAACTATTGCTCATTTAAAGAATTAATTTAATAGTTTATCAAATTCCAATCTCAGTGCTGTTTTACTGTTTTATTTTTGCCAAGAATAAGAACAGCATTATGCATCGCATTAGTTTGTTTAAATAGGAAATTATTTTCTCAGTCTAATTAAATTTTAAAGCTAATAGAACGTAAAATATTGAATTTAAATGTTTATTAGATCATATTGGAGAGTGTCACTGGTATTAATGAGTATATACCCATTGTTCTTTCTGAAGTGGAAATAAAGTACAGTATGAACGTAAAACTTGTGAAGCAGTGATTTGATACTAAAAGCTGTGAAAAAAATTACAATACTCTAATTTTGAAGGGCCAAACCATAGTGAGAAATATAGAATGCAATAAACAGATTATCAAAGCAGTTCTTTCTAATATACAATGTTCACAATCTTCAATACTGGACACAAAAGTAATTAAAATATTTATATCTATTCTACAACCCAAGTTATATGAAAAATATGCATGGGAAGGTCATTACAGAAAGCCATTTAATGATATTTGCCAAGATATTACAAAACTAACTTCACGGCCGTTCCGTGGCAAAACAACGTAACTTGAAATGTTCACTTTTGGAGAAAAATAGAGTTAAAGTTTGCATGTTCGTAACTTTGCAATAAATTGTCATAACCTTTTGAAATTACATATTTTTGGAATTTATCACGTTTGGGGCAATCATATGCATTACCCAGCCTGTTCATACATCGCTGTTTAAGATTATTAATATAAAAACACCAATAACCATTTGATTTTGGCTTTCCCAAACTTCATCAGCTCTAGACCATTTCTGAATAGCACATTCCATGGCAAAACAACTTCATCGCCACGTCATTTTGTAGTTAAGATGTTTTGCCACGGAAAATCACTGGATTTTAAGTTTTGTGCTTAAAGATAGGTGGTGCTATCTCCGAAACGACTCATTATTGAGACCTGAAGGTTTCACAGGTAATTCAGAAGTGTTTAATATACTCCCAAATGATATTATCTCAAAATCGACAAAAATGTCAGTTATGTTGTTTTGCCTCGGGACGGCCGTTTATCAATCTGACAACAATATGAAGCTTAATGAGGCGAACTCAAAGCAACCACCTGAAAACATCAATAGTCGTTAGGTTTCACAACAAAATTGAGCATCATACTATATACCGCCCTCTATTACATGATTCACAATAATGAAAAGTGCTTTCAAACCAGGAAATTAGTGTACAAATTATCAATGATGAATAATTGACTTGATAAAAATAGATTTTCTAAAAATGTTTAAAGTCAGTGTTACTATATTTGATTTACAGTAAACAATTTATATCAAAATCATAAAAAAAAAAAAAAAACCCATTGAATATAATATAAATTACAATGGAAACCTGGTGTGTTTTTATTAATGAAAGTGATAAGACTAAAACAAAACAAGTAGTAACCCAACATGCAGCTGAAATAGCAGTCCCACATGTTCATGTCACAATCTAGCTGAGCCCACATTATCTTATGAAAACATCAACATTCTGACCTTACCATCTTGTGATTGGTTGTAATACTATGATAGGAATTCATTTTCATTCCATTAAATAATGTAATGGAAATGCAATGACAAATCCTATAGGATGTGTGATGGATCTGTTTTGCAATGGGAATAGTGTGCCGGCATCAAAATTAGAAGAAATGTTGATAGCAAATTTATGAAACATGATGTGGGATTGCGTTTTTACATTATTATATTTTGTAGCAATGAGTGGAAGCAAGCACACATATAATGACATGGGATTCACATTAAAAGCAGCATTGTACATCAAAGAAGTGTTTTGGACAGAATGAAAATGAAGTCACACACCATTAACCAGGAAGAATTCCATTGTATTTTTTGTACATCCTCAATTACAGTCCGCAAGGCCTGGGAGAGAAAACAAGTTAGGTGAAACAAACAGCTAAAAACACAGGAGATAGCATGGGAGTCTGGTTAGGTAAACCACAGTAGTAGTTTAGTAGCCAATGGATAGCTAGATACAGTAACATTGGAACAATAATTGGATGCCGTAAGCTGAAACAACTGGGATAATGTTCTGCCTCTTAGTGGCATATATATATATATATATATAACACATATACATATAACATATTACAATTTAGTTTATAGAATATTAACATAGTTGCCAGTTTTCTTATTTCTCATTCTAATACAAAATTCAAATATAACTCAAGATTATGGCGTGGAAAGCAATCAGTTCTCAGACACAGCTTCAATCCCAGTGGATACTCACTTTAAATTCTCAAATTAGGCCTACAGAACACATAAATATTCTATATAGTCACACTGTTAGGCCTTGGTGATTGAGGTACTTTTTGTTGTATGGAAAACACATCATGTAAGTACTATTCTTATTGAAGATTCAGATCAATTTAGCTTGTCTGTGTTAATATAGGGATTAATTGAATCAGGATCTATTTCAATTTTGTTGCAATGCTACTGTGAATTAATTTCATATTAGTTAACATGACATGATCAGGTTAGATCTCCAAAACAAATGACAATATACAATGGAGATACAAAAACATTAGTTAATGTAAAGAGTTGTTCACAATTATCAACATTTGTAGGATACAATAATTACAAGGATTATATTTTATGCTAGCCAGTGCCTCACAACATTACTCACTCCCTTACAATAAACTTAATTGTTCTTCTTAACTTATCCCTCTTAATATTGTTTCTCCTGCTGTATTATCTTTCCTTCTCCACTACAGACCTTCCCTTATATTCTTACATTTACATTACTTTTTTGTCTCTCCTCCCATTCTACTTCTTCTTCTTATCTCCTCCTTTTTCTTACCTTCTCTCTCCCCACTTCACACCGAGCCTTTTACATTTCTTTTCCCCTTTTTGTGCTTTACCTTTGTCCATTATCCCTTCCCAAGAATATACCCCTAACATATAATGTTGATAATGGTGAACTGCCCTTAGAGATGACATATTAACTTGACTGTAAACATAATACATGACGAGGACACATAGATCAACAATACAAAGTTGAACATTCTATCTCATTACTTGGTTTAGGAAACAAAATACCAATGTGTCATAACATATAATTAATAATTAAAAATAACTATAATACAAAGTAAAGAGCTCGAAATTTTATGGCTCACATCATTTTTTTTTCTACATTCTTCTGTTTTACTGTGTCAATAAATATGTCAACAAAAATTTCAAGATGGATATTTGACCTAAGGAATCTGAATTACAGTGATATAATTTTTATAAAGTGGAAGTAAACTTAGACTCTTCCTACCTGGGGTTGTAGATTTAAAACACAAACTTTGCCCGAATTAACTACGAGGCGTATTGCATCGAGGCTCGTCCCATATAAGCTCTTCATAAATTCTCCGTGTTCTACAAATTTTCCTGCTGTGATATCTTGTTCAAAACGCTGTCGTGTCACAAAGTAATAATCCTCTGCTTCGACTTCAAAATCTTTCTTTGCTCGACTCGTGTCTGAAAAAAATCCAACGGAAAATTATCAATGACAATTTGAGCAAGATCACCAAAATTCACAATTGGTCTTAAAAGAAGTTAAAGCATAGTGTTACCAACTCTAGTTGATTTCCTAAAGTAGTGTAGATGCTAAAGTGCATAGACCCATTCTTTATAAAATCCACTTTGTAACATATCAATTACTATGAGCGCATACAGACCATGTATTATGCGCTATGTAAGTCGCAAAACCATTACTATCAATAAAAATCCAATTATTATGGAGTACCTGTACAGACAAATGCAATAAACAACCATTAAGGTAAATTTATAATAATGCGTTACTTTCTGTCTGTCTCCCTCTTTAAAATAACCTATGAATAACTTACGAGGTACTGCTGATGCAAATTTTGTTGAATCCTCTAAGAGTTTCTGCCTCAGCTCATGCCTACCCACGCTGTGTGGCCCAACAAGCACTATTGGTCGTTTTTTGTGGATATTCGGTTGGTACATCCCTACTTCTTCATATGTTAAAATTTCTTCACTCTCATATTCTGAACAAAAACAAATATTAAAAATAATCTGTTGATATCGGTAGATATTTAACAGCATTAAAATGCCTTAACTGTTTGGCAGCAAGACCACCCTTATACAATAATGGTATGGTCACACATGAATCAATAAGTTCTCCATTGTATGAGATACCAACATAACCATTTTAATGTTTTATACTCTGTCCACACTATCAAATTTAATGTGAAATGGTCATGATGACATCACATCATGACACAATATAGGCACATCATGACCATATATAGGCACATCATGACCATATATAGGCACATCATGACCATATATAGGCACATCATGACACAATATAGGCACATCATGACCATATATAGGCACTCACATCACAAACTAACACAATCAAATTAGATTGTGTTAGTTCGTGAAATCACAAAAGCGCATCAAAATATGCGCAGTGGTTGTTAAGGACTTTTTGTGTGATAAAGAATACGAAAGCGCCTGACAACCAATATGCGCTCATTTTGACGTGCTACTGTGATTTCATGGACTAACACAATCTACTTTTATTGTGTTAGTTCGTGATGTGATCGACGATATGGGCATACAACAGTTGTTTTTTTTTTCGTCAAAGAAAATTTGATAATCTGGACAGAACTTTAGGTCATAAATAATATTACATGACATTACAAACTAATAAATAAAAGTATTTTTTAAAAATCATCACCATTGTCATTAATCTTTGGGACCCCATTGGAATTAAGTGGTTTTCTCCAATTTATGAGTAATCGCTGGTTTCACTGAATGTTTTGTTCTCTAATAATTTTAATCTATTAATTAATTAATTTTACATGGTGCTCTTTAATTTTTAAAAAATTTTTAATTGTTTATTGGTTGTTTAAGATATTGTATTTTTTATGTATATTAAATCAAATCAAAATCAAGTTAAACGTACGATAAGATTTGAGTAAAGTGGCAATTAAGAGAGAAAATGGGGAGAATTCTATCATAGGAATCTACAAGAATGATTATATTAAAATAAAATTTAAATTGAGTAAAATTTTTTACCATTTTCATTTGCATTGTAGAGAACTTTCTTCTTTTTCTTTTTCTTTTTTGATTTGCAGCCACACATCAACTTTTTCTGGGGTTCTGGGTCGTCCTGTAATGTTTGCTTCATAGCTTCTCTCCTAACGAAAAATTAACAATTAATTAATAATTATCGAAATAACAATCATTTAGAAAAATATTAGTAAACAGATGGATCATCATGTTTTCCTTTATTTATTGTTCCATAATTAAAATGAAAGTTAATAGTATTTTCATTTAATAAAAATCATTATGAAGTTATCATTACGGCCAAATAATATATCGACCACAAACCTTGGACACAGAACATTAGTGTGACAACATTAGTATGACGATTCTAAGATGGTAATTTACATGTAAAACAAAGATAGAATACATACTAAGTCTACTTACTGCTGTGTAAATGATTTACTAGGTATAAGACCAGCTAACACCTGGTCCTCCTCCCCATCCCTGTAGGCCTGCCACCAGCTGTTATCCTCCTGCTTGATAACATGCAAGATATCCCCCTTCTGGAACGATAGGCCTAGCTCCCGACAAGGAATGTACTCATCGTCATCAGGATCATAGTTAAAATGAGCTCGTACATGCACCTATGTTATAAAATAATTAAATACATTTTTATTTCTTGAAATAGTTACCATAAAGCAGAAAGCCTAGAAGATCTCGCCTAGAAGATCTCTCTGTAGCTTTGTTAGGTAGATGTCGGGGTGGTTGGTTTAATAATAAATAAATAAATAAATAATAATAAAATTTAAAAAGAAACTAAGCTAGCTACAGTAGTTGGTACACTATTCAATACTTGTACAGGCATGAATATTATGTGGTACTAGATTAAACTATTTCTTTATTGCCAAACATATGATAGGAATTTGACTTGTATTATCAATCTGATTAAAACAACAATGAGGTCATCGTATACAAGGTTAGATTGTATTGTTACTAAAAAATTAAAAGTTAAGCTTACGCAGCTAAGTCTGAGGGGGCCTAGTCCTACAGTAGGCAGCTTCTAAGCATTCTGATCCCACTCTAGGCCCTACACAAATTTGTTTTTATCGGACATTTTTACCTTCTTAAATACCTAGATTGCGGATTTTACTCCAACACAACTTCCATAGATACTTGTTTATTATATATATTGATCATTCAATAAAACAATCAAGCACTATGTTGAGTTTTAAAGCTGAAAATGATGTTTGAAAGAGAAGTAAAATTTGTCGCATGCACATGTGTTAAGCCATAAAAAACACTGACTTTGAAGAGGCCCGTTAGAGGGCCTCCTTCACTTGAGAATTACATAGTACTGTATAGTATGGTGTGTTGTGTTGTATGCATGCTAATAACAGTTACAATTCGAGCAGATTTTTTTTTTTAATCTTTCACTTAAATTTTTAAGACGTCATCACCTTTATTTTACGTTCGTAAAATCGGGAATTCGTTAAATCGGGGTTCGTAAGTGAGGGTTTCTACTGTACTGTACTATACTGTATACAGTACAATATCTTGAATATCATTTATTGGAGAATGTCCTCAAATAGGCTATAATATTAGAGCAGCACAGAGCAGTTTGTTTATATGGTAACAACTCTATGAGTTCAACCATGGAGATCTCTGTGACCTTAGATCTATTATATTCTATTTTAGTTGTTCCATGGACCTATTAATAGGTCCATGGTTGTTCTCATAATAGTATTATCCTGTAGGTACTGTAGCTTATGTGCACATTAAAGAACATTAAAGAACTATTCAGAAAAGGACAGATACAATAACTACTTTTCAACATGATAAACAACACTACCTATTTGCTGTTTTTAGAAAAGGAAAAATTGGCTCTTAAGTGTACTGGCTAATTTAGAACCAGGGTGACATCCCACTCAAATGGATTTCCAGGGACTTTGCCAAAAATGTTGTAGGTTCTGACCTAGAATCAATTTACATTATATTTGCTCTATATTGATATTCTTATATTTATCTACTTCAATAAGTTGAAGTTGCAGTACATATGATTTATTTTATGTTTCAAGGTCTGTTTATAATTCAGCTCGCTAATGGACTTTTTCTTTTAATAATTTATCAAATGAATAAATAAATTATAACAGTGATCGCAAAGTAGTCAGTATCACAATTAAAAATTAATTCTCTGGATTTTGATGAAATCTTATTTTTGAAACCAATATTTCCAATGAGAATTAATTAAATTATAAAAATGTTAGTCCTCTTCCAATAGGCAGTCACATACAGTAACAAAATCAGGACATAATGGCCTTAATGGCCATAAAAAATACATAGTGTGCAAGTGTCAGTAAGACCAAAACTAAGGGGTGTAAATTTATTTCAACTGCTTATAATTTACATGCTGACTTTTTTGCAATATTTGTAAAAAATTATTTAAAAAAGAAAAAGTTGGCCTAAGCTTATTTTGGTGTGGATCTGCATCATTACATGTGTATGCATGAAGTATGTAAAGTAATGATAAAATGAAAAAAAAAGAATGAGTGTAAAACAAAACAAAAATGATTAAAATAAATGGATTTAACCCTGCGAAAGAGAAAGAAAAACACCAAAATGATATACATTACATTAAACTTACCACATTTTCTCCAACTTGTTGCTTTGTATCTTTCGATGGAATTAGAAGGAATGTTAATGTTCCTGATAAAGATCCCTAGATTAGAAACAATAACAATTAAAATGTCAGAAACACTTAGGATCAGAAATAAATTAAAGTAAAAATCTTAGTTCATTATTATAATTATTATCACAATATCACTATCATTAATATAATAAAAAATATCTAAGTATAACAATAACAAAAATGTTAAACCTACCATGATGTCACATATTTCATTCACTGATCTCCCCTTCATCTCTTGTCCATTTATTTCCAATATTTCATCCCCTTCATGGAGTAGTCCACTCTTGTCTGCAGCACCCCCTTTCACTATCCTCCCTATGTACACACAATCTCCATGATTTAAAATGGTTGCTCCCTGTAAAACAAAAGACAGTGTACAATTGAAAACTAGTCAGAAAAAATAACAGTTACATTGATTTCCACACATCCACCTTCCTGTTATTATCTTGGTGTTCAATATATGCATCCTTTAAAATTTAAACATCCGGTGCTCCCTACCTTGTGATTTGTGGAAATACATGTGTGGTCTTATAGTGTGTGATGTCTAGTTAAAATGGAAATAGGATAAATACATGAAGATCAAGGATCAAATAAATTGTCAACATCCAATTGATCAAAAAAATTTAGTTTTCATTGATGTAAAAACTCTTGTATGGTTATATATAGACATGTTATATACGGTCATGATGTGATGTCATCACAGCCATATTTAGGCATGTCACATGTTTTGTCAATAAAACTTGACAGTCAACAGGGCTTAAGACTTTTACTACAATAATCCTGAGACTGATTACCAGTTTATGCAAAGAATATAGGAACATTATTTACACATCTGTTATTAGTGAGACACCCTCTGTATAACCGCAAAATTGTATCAAGACGTCTTAAGTCAAGAAAAAGCTTTATGAGCAGTGTTACTTCACTGGAGACAACATCAACACCTTCTGAAGCTCGCACCGTCATGTGGGAAGAAAGGCTGGCTAACGTACCACAACATTTAGCGATGAAAATACCACCAAAGGAAGACCTCCTGCCCGGATCCGACAAAAACTGGGCAAAATGGAAATGTCCCAACAGACTAAGAACTGGGATTGGCCTTTCTAAGGTCACTATGCAGAAATGGGGATATTCGACCAACCCAACTATCTGTGACTGTGGAACTGAGCCACAGACAATGCAACATCTCTTGCAATGCCCAAACCTAGAGGAAACCTGCAACACTGAAGATCTTGCCAGATACAACGTAAAGGCACAGAAGTGTGTCCAGCTATGGCTGGGCCAAGTATAGTACGTGGACACGATAAGAAGAAGAATTAGTGAGAAAAATAATTTCTAGTTATTTTTAAATTTTTAATTACATAAAAAGTATTATTAAATACTATTGTTCAAGTTTATCTAGCTCTATACAGGAAGCATATATTTAAATAATGTTTGAAGCTTGCGAAAACTACAGAAATGTAAAGTAATATGTTGGAAGACTATAAAAAGTAATGATTGCAGCACGACAAAACTATAGAAATGTATGTAATATGTTGAAGGACTATAAAAAGTAACAAGTTGGTTCCGGAATCAATATAATGAGATGATAAGAATAAATAAATTATAAAAAAGGTTATTACACTGACTTCTGCCTGGTTGATCAAATTTTAATCTTGAGCATTTAATCATAAATAATTTATCATGCCTTTTTTCAACCATTAAACAAATTGTATTCCTCTATAGAGGTTAACAGTTAAGTAAAAAAAATTTAATTTCTTATTTTATTTTATTTTATTTCAATCTTTTTTATACTTTCTTTACATAATCAATTCTAAAATTTTAAAATTATTGTTACTAATTTGTAAATAAAAACATTTAAATATAACAAAAACTAATACGTACTAGTGGTTCTTCACTTTTATCAATGCGGACAATTTTCACAGAATCTTCCGTAATCTCTGATTGTCGTTCAAGATCGTCTTCTTCTGCTAATGTCTGATTCATAAACTCTTCCTCCGCAATGTCATCATGAGCTTGTAGAACACACTTGAATCAAAAATTCATAATAATCATCAATTATTAGAAACAAACACCATAGTTTCCCTAGGTTTAATTAAGCCCACACTCATGTATAAAGCTTAAAGTCTCCAATAGGGACAGTACAAATCCACACTCAGATAACAACCATATTCATGTATAAGCCCATACTAAGGATATATCAATACTTGTGTATGAGCTCAAACTTGTGTATAAGTCTTGTCTCTCCGGGGGACCGATTTCTGGCCTGGACCAATTTTAGCATGACAGTCCATTGGAAAAAAAAATATATATATAAGTCAAAATATATGCCATTTAAAAAAGTAATTTCTTCTTTAACATCCAGCCATGAACAATTTTAAGGAAGGAAAAACAGAGTTTATGCTCAATAAAAATTGTGGTTTATCTTTGGTGGCGCTAATTAATTATTGGAAAATGGACTATATTTAAAGAAAACAATTTAAATGGCACAAATTTGACGATCGGAATGAGAAGCTTAAATAGGCATTTTTTTTTTACAAGACCTTAACATATAATTGTAAAATACATGCCTATTTAGAAGATCCCTATCATTACATTCATGTATGCCTATAGGAAAGCAAAAGGTATGATTAACATATCTCTGCAGGTGGTATAAAACACAAGTCATCTAATATCATAACACAGTAGATGAAAAAAACATTCCCAGGGATCTATGGAGTAAATCTTGGTGACTTTTGACCTGTATGCTGGCGCTAGTTTGCAGATGGTATGGAACACTAGTCATCTACAGTAATATCATAACATCGTAGATGCAAAAAAACATTCCCAGGGATCTATGGAGTAAATCTTGGTGATCTTTGACCTGTATGCTCGACCTGGTTTACCTCGGAACAAATCAAGCAGAATTACATGTAACTTGATAATGGACTCTGATTGGATATGCCATACCTCGGACTGGTACTGTATTGATGTGTTTAAAGTCAGGCATAAACTACAGTACAATTAGTAAAATGAGAGTTCTTGTATGGAATATTGTTAATGTCTGATAGATTATAATGAAAACATATTTGTTTATTAACCTGTTTTTCTTCCTTGATTTACATGTTACATGTTACATGTAAAATTATATGGTTATTTAATTCTCCAATTTCTATGTTTCAACAAAGCACATATATTAACAGTGCTTTTCCACGCATATTTTGCTATGAAATAAAAATTTTGATTTTATTGGTCCTTGGGAAGTTACATGACATAGATAGACAGAAATCTTTCTTTATTCTGGATACTCAATCAGTATTGTTACACTGTTCATCCCTGATGTCCAGGGTATGATCTTAAATTACAAAACAAATTTAAAAGAAAAATGCATGAAAAATGTATATAGATTACATAAATACAAGAAAAAGAAGAGAAAAACAAAAGGGTATATTAAATGAGATTTTAAAAGGATTGTAAGGAAAGGGAATGAATATTGCTATGAAAGACTGATGATAGATTATTCCATGATTTAACTGAGCGATATTTAAAAGTTCTTTTTCCATGCTGAGTGTTGCTACCTGTCACTTTATTTTAACTGTCTTTATATTATATCTGATTGGAGCTCAGAAGACTGACCGTGGATGGTATAAGGTCTTTGTTAGAGTGTCTCTTGGTCTTGCATTGCAGTCCTGGTAAACGGTGGTCAATTAACATTTTTTTTTTAACCCATTGTTTAGAAGCCTGAACATAACCTTTTTATTTCCATTCTTACCGATGACATCGGTATTCTTCTATTCAAACTTACAATCATAAAAAAATATTATACGAAATTGACATGCATAAAAAGGGAAATTGGTGAGTTACTGATTTTAAGGTAAGAATAACTCTGGACTGATCAACCCACCTGCATAAATCAATACGTAAACTACAATAGTAGCAAGAACAATAAAAGGCATTCACATTATTATCATATTTTCAGCTCACCTTCATATTTACACTGTCAAATATCCATCGTAGCTCATCAGCATCCTTACTGTGTGTATCTTGAAGGATTTCGCGGACATCATCCATTAACACCACTGAATGGTCTAGGAGGGGTTCGTGACCTCCGACCTTGACCACTTCCATCATTTTATTGTGAGTTGTGACAGCATCCTGGAAGTCCTTGCTTGTAAAGAGATCCTGCAAGAAGCTCACTTGCTTCTGGTCCTCTGTACTCTTTAATTTTGATTGAACACGATCTAGTGTATTCAGTAAATCCTCCAATCCTAAAAGAAAAATATTTTATTATTACACATTTAAGGCTGGGTGAACAAATAATAAGACAGGTCAACCATGACAAAGGTTGTATACTTCATGGAATAACACCGATTGTAAATATTATATCACCATAAATGGTTTTCTGCCTTCCGGCAAGTTTTAGTATTATTTATTTATTCCAGTTCTCTCTTTGACATTCTCTTTTATACCACAATAAAGCCTGTTATTATTTTCATGCCACTTAGCATACAGCAACTGCTCATATTTTTTTGATTGGTTTTTCCTTTCATTCGTTCTTCAAATGTATTTTTAGAAGTCCATTTCTTCTAATCATTAAAATCCAATACTTTTCTGCTTTTTTCTTAATTACTTCTCTCAGTGGCAATAAACATCTTTTAGTACTGTAATATTTGTTCATTGACATTGAGTCTTTCCAACTTATCTTCCTCCATTCTCCTCCAGACTGTATCAATATATTTCAAATGCCTGCAAATCTACTAATTTCTTCTTCATCATCAATGTCTTCAACCTATTACTACACTCTGTACAACTGTTTCTTTTTCTGTTTACTAATTTGATAGTACTGAACTGCCATAATTTAATATAAGTTGCTATAATAATGCTGTCATCAGTTGTATTATTATATAAAGGTGTCCACATTCCTTTCAATTAGGAAGTTACTATAATAATTATGCAGCTTACAGTTAAAGGTGATCACCTCAATTGCATATGGAATTTTAGCATTGCTTGCATTGCAATTAGAATTTTCTGCTCCATGATTTACGACACTCATTAATACAACACAAAGGTGAAGTGTAAAACCCAACAGATCTGTTGCTTGCAATCATAACAACAATGATTACTCTTATCCAATTACTAAACAACTTATTTGCTTATTATTCTTAAATCACTTTTTCCATCGTCTATTCAGTAATACTTAATTCATTTGTATAATAATTGCTGTACATGCTATTCAAAAAGCTAAAATTAAGAATTTAGTTCACTATGCAATTCATCTTTATTCCTAGTAGTAAAGGTATATCCCCATATCTACAAAGCATCATTTTAAGTAGCAGAACATTCTGTTTTAAATCTCTCAACACTATTAAGCAACAGTAGCTTCTTAGGGCACTACAACCCACCTGCATCAGCATATTTTTAAAAAGTATTTTGATGGGGTTTTTTACATGCTAAAGCTTTAAAAAAAAAATACTCGGCCAATGTATGGGCAAAAATGCTGACAAATATAGCAGATTCATTTAAGGCCTAGGGCCCTGCCTTTAACCAATGAGAGCTCATAGTTGTACGCCACTGTTGTTATGCAAACAGATGGGACTTCTCTGATGGAAAGGCCTACCATAGCTGTTATCATCAACAGCACATTGTGATTTCAGATGCTTATAAATAAAATTTCACCATTTATTGGTTGCTTTCTAGTTAAATTAAAAATTATTAAATAATGAAGATAAAAACTTACCAATTGTTTTTGATGGTTCTGGAGGACTATCATCTGCCACAAGGTATTTCAAACTTGAATTTGGTAGAGCTTGTGTCCTGTCAGTGACCGATGGGCTTATTGTACTCTGACTGTTATTGGTGTTCTGAGAGTAAAAATATACAGACCTGCTGTTAGCTACTTTTTTCCACAATATATATCGTCTATAATAAATAAAGTAATTACCAATGTTTTCATTAATATCATTATGCTATTAAAATATACTATACCGGAGCTTTTATTCTCGCAGTAGAAACAGGACCAGTTTGAAAAAAGCGAATAAAAAAAATTGATCAAAAACACGCAATGGATAGTGTGTTTGAACGGCAAATAACCGATTTTGGCTGTGCACCTTTTAGCTGCAACACAAAAAAAAGCGATTATCAGATGAAATGTGACCTCCAGGTCAATCACTGCAAAGACTAGATCGTATTAGGCGCGAACTTTAAAAAAAAAATTTGTCCTCTTGTTCATGTCCTAGGCCTACAAGCTAAAAACGTCAACAAACATGAGGAGTGGCAAATTCGTTTTGTACTATTTTATGGGGGATATTGGGCCTAGGACTCTCCGCTCTTTTGGGCCTACCGTTGTCCTCGTTTGGTCGTCGTTCATAATTGTGCCGATGAGCACAGCCGAAAATATTTGCCTTCTCGTCCCACATCGTATCTTACTCCTCGTCATCATGACAGGAATGAGAACGATACTATCCTATACAGTTAGGAAAATCAATTTTCAAAAAATCAAAAAACGCCAGTCTGGTACTCATTAAAAACACGGTTTTAAAAAATCAATTATTTTGTGTTTATCAGTAGAAACACACCCTATGCTGTAGATCAAATCCCATGACATTGTGGGTTTGCTGCCCTAACCACTTACTCACACTTAATAGCATGAATTCTGTTTTTTTCTTTTTACTGAAAACCAGTGCATAGTACAATAACCAGGATTTTAAAAAGTTTTCGTATTGAGACAATTGCTCATAATTTTTATAAATTTCAAACAATATCATGGAGTTTTCAAGTGGGAATTAATAATTTATCCAATTTTATAAGACTTTATAAAATTAACAGTCATTCTCCAGCTATCCTTATGTTGTTCTTATTACTTTCCTAGCTTTCAACTAAGACTGAGATGTATGAAGTCTACCAAAACTAACACGATTAAACATTTGAGAAAAGGAATTAACAAATGTCATGGGATTTGATTTACTCCGATCCAGTAGACTATGAAATAGTTATCAATACATCTGGATTTGAAGAGTAGAATTAAAATAGAAATTAACAATTAACGCACCTTGTGTGTTGCTGATAAATCATGTCGGTTCTGCGGTAAATTTCCATTAGAAACAACTTGTGGTGGATTTTTCATGCCACTTGCTGCTACAAAATCTGCAGGGCAGTCTACTGCCATTTCACGGAAAGTCCCCTTTGGCATTGTCGCTGCTGAGTGAATATCTGACTGCGGCAACTTTTCAATATTTTGTTGCACTTTGTGGGACTTTGTAAAGTTTGTTCCTGGTCTTGGTTCCTCAAGTCCATTAAATTGCAGTTCGTCCTCAAATGCAGCATTAACAAATCCACAATCATTTTTTGTTGAATGACCATTTAACGTGTGAAGTTGAACTTCTTCTCTTGCTATTGGAGAACTCTTTTGGAGCAGCAGAGGTGCATTGGCACCATCTGAGGCCGTGAGATCTCTGGCTGTAGAGCCCCTAGAACTGGAAGAACTGTAACTAGCCTGGTTACCCACACCATTCTCTTTTAAGGGCTGTAGGGGTGGCATGGTGGCCATGTCTATGGTTGTAACATTCTTTTGGGCTGTAAGTTTAGCTAGTTTCTCGCGTGCATTTGTGTCAACGGCGATAACATAAGCTTCATGAATGTTATTCTGCCCAACAGACCCACCTAAAAATAGAAAAGCACAATTATGAATCATCTATCGAAAGAAATAATGTGATCTACTTTTCTAAAATAAGCACTAATTTCTAAACACAAATAATATGGTAAAATCTTTATATGGCACAAATTTTATTAAATGTAGAATAACATTACCAGAATTCTATTCAATACCTCTTTTAAAGTAAACATCAAGACTGTTTACTTGCTTAGCTTCTGCATAAAGTATACTGTATTCATCAATAACCAGTATTAAAATAATGTCAGCTAAGCACTGAGGTCAACTAATAACCCAGCATGCATTGCAGTAAACAATCACATGATGTAATCAGCACTGCAACAGTTTCAAAAGTAAAAGGAAGTTATTATGAGCATTTCACCTATTATCTTTCGTTTTAGGAAGTATTAGATTGCCAATGACAAGCAATTCAAATAATTTCAGAGGTACCGGTAATCGGTGATAGCTATAAAGTTAAGCTAACCAATAGGGGTCTGACCATTAATGTATAAAATTGTCTGAAAATGTCTGGCAGAGGCCAGCAGGGTCCAAGGGTAATGCCTAGGTGGGTTCCAGGAAGACAACACCTTAAGCCTAGAAAAACTGGGACATTTTGTACATTTTAAACTGTTCTGAGATGTTTTAGAATGTATCTATCAAGCCCAAAATATAAATAAAATTTTATTTTTTGTTTTGATCTTAAGGGAAGGGGAGATCAATACAATAGGAACATGTTTTGTAATCAGATACTAAGTTAGTGAATTTGTGTTCCTTGAGACCTTGAAACAGTAAACCAGATCCAAGGGCAAGAAAGCCAAAAATTTGGATCAAGGTCAAAGAATTCTCATATCTTGCATTTTGACCCTAAATCTGTTAAAGGTCAGTATAGACTGTACAGTATTATACACTACATCATCTCTTCATCCACTATTTAGAAAGGATTCAATTCTTTAAAAAGTAATTTAGCTAGTGTATATTGAATAAAAAACTAATCAAATTTAACAGCAGACTGTGTCAACATAAAAAAAAAATCTTTTGAATTACTGTTTTAAATGGTTATATAAGTGGTATTTTTGTTTTTTATGTATCCTTGTTTATGTTGTTATTGACCAAATAAATGAATGAATGAATCAATCAACATCATTATATGGTTTTGAACATCATCATCATCATCATAAAACAAAGTTAATAAAACTAAACAAAACAACAAAAGAACTCATAAAATCTATCTCATCATATAATAGGAATTTGCTTCCTTGAAAATATGTTTTATTTACTTTCTAACTTTCTGTTGATCACTTAATATATATCCTCTGCACAAAAAGATTCAAGATTAAAGAACTTGTATTGGTCCATAAAACACACAGACACTTGTGACATAAGAGACAAAAACCAAGAAATATATAAAATGGAAAAGAGTAAAATGGGAGACAATCTTTTAACTACAATGTACATCACTAGTCAACTGAAATTGTGTTTAAAATGATGAGATATTAATAAAAAACCAGGTTATTATGCAAATTTTAGTAAATTTTAAAATAAGTAGAGTTTACACTTTACTGTAGAATAGTGATTTGATATAAAAAAAAAAAATGTTTTTAATAAACACCTTAAAAAAATATAAAGAAATATGATTTAAATAAACCTTTCTTTGGAAGAAGAATTTTTTAATAACAAAATAATCTCTGTAAATAAAGAAAAATACATGATTTATAATACCACAGTACCTCCTCCACTCCAGTGGGCATCAACAGACAACATGGACGATTTGAGATGGAAGCCTAGCCAGCTTGAGTTACCAGTGCATAAGAAATCCCATCACTATTCATCAACACAGCAGTCAGATGCGTACAAGTCAAATGTCACACCCAACTATGTTATCCCAAGTTGTACACCAGTTTTAATTCCCTCACAAAAGTTTGTCTACTAAGTAAGAATTCTTCTATTATTCCTTAAACTTCTGATACCTGTACTATATACTTGATTGTTGTCATAAATAAAATACTGTATCAATGACTTCGCCGTTTCTCTGTTTCCCTTGCCAAGCTAGCCTACCAATTCGGTTGGAATTTTTTTGAGTAAGGTAAGCTGAGTTGGACAGCCACTGACTCAACCAACCACTGACCTTGCTAATCTAGAATACCTAGCATTCCAGAGGCTTTTGCCACATAGGACAATACCATTTCAGTTTTGGGGGTGTACAACAACACGTTAAAATTAGTGGATTTTTTTTTATCAGTGATAAATCACTGTAAATTATATATGACCAGTGTCAAATTGTAATTAATTATAAATATAGCTAATATTTAATCAATATCTGTTCACATATGACAAACAACTACAGGGCAGTGGCTGCACTGTTATCATTCATAACCCACAGTAAACACTGCCTGCATCCCAACATTTTATGAACATTTGTTTTGTATGTTACACTTACAGAAGTATATCATAAAAACATTTCATAAAAGACCAATAAAGTTTTATCATATAATTGAATTATTAAACATAGCACCTAAGCAAGTGAAAATAGTAATGGCCGAATCCAGTATAGTACTGGAGAGTTTGTAAATAAATACCTTGTGTATATTTACTCATTTCTTGTGGGTACAAAACTATATAGTGTAGCTTTCATGAATCAAGCAAAATTAATAAGTGCATTTTATGGATACAAGTTCAAACAAATTGTTTTGATTACTGACAGTATCATATTTTTGTAGAGTTGTATATGTTCTGTTAAATTATAACTGACTATGTTCCTATTTCCTGAATTAAAGCCTGTATTGAGAAGCAACAGACCAGAAACTTTAGAGATCATGCCATTGGTAGAGGTTCATTTCCAAAGTGACTTATAAAGTTCATTGTTTGTGGGGTACAAAGAAGGGGCTTAACCAAAGAAAATACACACAGGAATCATATCCTCTGTATGAGTCACAAACTATTAACATTCCTTGGTAGCTCCACAATGGAATCCACAATGTTTTTTTTTTAATATTCTTTTTTTAGAATTTGTACTTATAGAAATACAGCATCTTATTATTGACACAATTTTGCTTTTGCTATATTTTGTTGCTTGGCAACATTTTCTCACATTTATTGATATTTATTTAAAAGCAATCTAAAGGTACCACAAGACAGGAAAATATATGCCATTTACATGAGTGAATTATTGAATATTAATTTAGTCATATTTGAATTAGAGAGAGTACTGTTCTCAGCACAATCTAAATGTACTACTGAATTGCTTACTCAAAAAGATCAAAGATCAACTTTACTGTAAATAATTAATATGTCAAAACAATAGTATATCAACTATAATTTTATATTATTTTATTTCCTAATAGTAGCCTACTTTGTGGGATCTAATGGGATTTACACCTGGTAGTATATTTTTTTTTAGTCTAACTCAATTAAACCTGTTTTTTAAAGTATGGCTTGATGGTTCTATATCTATAGTTAAACACACTAGCCTATGAATCAAATAGTGTTTCATCAGGCTAACAAGTACAGTAGCCATACGCTAGCTACAAGCTAGTTTGAGGATGATGATTGATGTGATATACCACACTACTGTACTTGGCCTACTGAGCTACTACTACTACTGTACTACTAACTACTTTGTAGTGCTGTGTTGAAGGTTATAATTATTATTGTACAGTATAATATTCAATTAATATGTTCAAATAATATTATTGTATAATATTATTTGAACATAAAATCTTAACAATTTGTTAATTTTTTTTCCAGGTAGACGAAGGAAAGGAAGCACCACCACCTCCTATCAAGAATGATGGTGTATCAATGTCATGCCAATTTCTGCAGTTCGGCACCCTTGTCTCCATCAGTTTTTATTCACTGCAACTTTTGTACTAAGTATCTTAATAAGTATTATACTATTATAAATAAAAAAGTGTCTAGCATTCTCAAAATAATTTTTATTGAACATACAAATGTTTTGGGGTATCACCCTTCATCAGGTATAGGTATATACATATTTTATTTTTTAATTATTGTGTATCTTTTGTATAGAATATTCATTGTAACACTTATAGATATGTTGTCGATGCCTTCCATGTCAATTGCAGTAGTTCATAGCTGTCTCTTATACACATCTAGATGTGTATAAGAGACAGGTATTAAACATAGAAATGAAATAACAAGGCAAGACAAACAAGAAAATAAATCCAAGTACAGTATCTATTTAAATTTAGTATAATTCATAAATTAATATTTGAAAACATTTTGGAGAAATGACCTTACCTCCAACAAGGCCAACTTGCCGTCGTACTCTCAAGCAGATTTTTCTTGACTGAATACACTGCAAGACAAGATGTAGACACGACTAAAACATGATTAAGAAAACATGCCTATTTTGTATAGCAAATCTTCAGAGCTGTAGCTGCATGCAGTTGTTGCATATCAGTGAGTACAATAACACTGCTGTAGTAATAGGACTTGATCAGTTAACCTTTGACCCAGAAAGACTTAAAGCAGCCATACAACATAATCTGTCATGAGCTTCCAAACTTAAATGGAACAATACTACATTGACCACAGCTAATTCAAATAGGTAGAAATTAGGATGCTCAAAATTTTCACAGAAATAAATGAAGGCAGTCTCACTTCATTTATATCATTGGCTAACTGGTGACATTAGGCCAAATAAAATTAATCGTTAGTTTCACGTCCCCGCCCACACCGATTTTTGGAGCAGCATAGATTTTTTTTACTATTTGCTATTTTTCCATATATAACAAAAAATGATTGTTTTTCCGTGAAAAAATGAAATTTCTCGAAGTTTTTCGGTGGGAATACAGGATTCGCGACGGCATTTCTATGAATTAAAAACAGCATTTCTATGAATTTACAAACAGCGGCTGGATTGATAAGACTAGTAGAAATACAGCTGTTGCGACAGCATTTCTATGAATTTACAAACGGCATTTCTATGAATTTACAAACAGCGCCCGGATTGATAAGACTACTCTGATCGTCGTCTCGCCACTCGCACTGCACACACATGGTTTGGGGTTTTTTAGTTGATTTGATTTGGCAGGTCTCTTGTTTTGTTTTTTTGTGACACGAGGATGGCAGACAATGGAGGAATAAGCTTCTTATTCTTCCAAATGTACGACAACTATAATCGTTAAATTAACGATATTGTGGTTTAAGCGTGTGGGCCAAGGATGTCTACATGTACCAACATTGACAACAACAAGGCATCGACTTTTCATCGTGAAAGATACCAGGTGAGTCAACCGTCTGGCGATCATCCGATGTGATATACCATTAACACACTACTGTACTTGGCCTACTGAGCTGCTACTACTACTGTACAACTAACTACTTTGTAGTGCTGTGTTGAAGGTTATAATTATTATTGTACAGTATAATATTCAAATAATATGTTCAAATAATATTATTTGAACATAAAATCTTAACAATTTGTTATTTTTTTTCCAGGTAGACGAAGGAAAGGATGCACCACTACCTCCTATCAAGCATGATGGTGTATCAATGTCATGTAAAATTCTGCAGTTCGGCACACTTGTCTCCATCAGTTTTTATTCACTGCAACTTTTGTACTAAGTATTTTAATAAGTATTATACTATTATAAATAACTCAAGAGAAGTGTCTAGCGTTCTCAAAATAATTTTTATTGAACATACAAACGTTTTGGGGCATCACCCTTCATCAGGTATAGGATACATATTTTTTTTTTTAAATTATTGTCTATCTTTTGTATAGAATATTCATTGTAACACTTATAGATATGTTGTCGATGCCTTCCATGTCAATTGCAGTAGTTCATAGTACTTCTCTTGTACATCATGGTACTGGTATACTTAAAAAACACCTTAAAAAATTCACTCTTAATATCACACCTTGATTAATATTATTGTTTTAATCAATAACTGTATTTTATGAAATATTTTTGGTTTAAATCATTTAAAAACAATAATTTATGAAAATAAAAGTGTTACAATACAATGTAGAGTGGTTGTTTTTGCTTCAAATATTGATTGCTGTGTTTTACATACCGCCATTTTCTTTCATCGAAAAAATAGCAAATAGCAAATAATAAGGCACCTCATCAAAAAAAAATTTCAAATTCCAGACGTGAAACTAATAATAAATTTTATTTGGCCTTAGTGGTTGCCATACTGTATAGTATACATACTACATTAATTCAACAAGTATACTGAGGTAATGTATGAAGGTTACATTATGAATAATCTGATTCCATTGTATACATTATAATCACACAATACAATATCTTGTAATTAACATTTACAATTGAAAACCTACATATAAATAATCAGTGATCTGGAAAACATACAAAATTTCTATATATGTAGTAGTATGTATTATATAGTACTGTATCTGTAGCAGGCTGATCACTTATATAATTTATTTGCTATCTATTTCAGCATCTAGGTCCTAGCTGGCCTACAACAGTTTTTTGGGGAAAGATTTCAATAGGAATGTTCCGGAAAAACGAACATCGTAACCAGCCCGGGGGAGGGGGGAGGGGATTGGTATTGGGGAAGTGCAAAGTACTATATCGTATTGTATGAGCTAACACATGTTTTGCTGTCCATACACATACTAGTATTGAGCCAGACTGAGCAACCGATCAAACTGACCAACCCTTTTCTTTGGTCTATGTGGTCTAATTTACCTGCCTGTACCATACTGTACCTACAGTACATATCAAACATGTCAATTAAAAAGCCTGTCTAGCCTATCTGCATTTTATAATATCTACCTGTTCTGGTACCTTTCCAACTACTTGCAGTACTTTATCCAGATACTTGGTAATATTCTATTTTTTACCTGTACACTCGCATATCTGTACATTACTTTCTGCCTGACCTGGATTATCAAGTTTTCAATCAGCTTACCTGTTTAATCTATTTGGTCTATTTACCTCTCATTACTACTATATGCTTGTTGGTCAGTCAATGGTACAACAAATAGCCATAATCTTCCATTTACTCTGTGTATGGGTCACTAACATTTATCATCAGTTGAAATGCCACTACACTGATAAATCATTTTCTTTATCATTGACTTTGTTTAATTAACTGTTAATTACAACTCATCACATATTAATTAATTATCTACTCAATCAGTACACTTGGGTGTCCCAAATATCTACTCATTAATTGACCACACAAATTCAGAATTACCACAGTTTGGTCTAGATTAATTAATCTTCTGCCTATCAATTAGCATTAAGCTCTCAGGTCAAACCAATCTACTTTCCTTTGCACATGGACAGTTTTTCCAAATAGGGTTAACACTCTACTAACAAGTTGTAAACAGTTTCTGTTGTGTGAAAGCAATTTCCAAAATATTGCAGGTGACCTCTATAATAACTGGATATAAAAACAGGCCTTGTCAATGTTTGATTTTCTTCTGATATCCAAAGTTATTCTTGTGCATTCGAGTATTGCCGAAGGCACTTTTCCAGTAAATACAGGTGATGGAAAATGTTTACGTTATTAACATAATTAGAAGATGACTCGCTAGACCTAGATCTTGGCCTACTATTAACACTGCATTCCGAACTCAATTCAGTGACAACTAGCTTTTGGGATGTTCATTGAACAGATAGTAGAATAGTCTGTGTGCGAGAGGCAATGCCTTCCTCTATGCTGGCATAACCACAAGGTTAGTCTATAGTACACTACTCTTCTGTAGGCGGTAAGGTCAAATCGCCCAAATTATACAAGATTGATAATTTTAATTTATGCATACTGTACTGTACATTGTTTTTGTGAGTGTGAAATGAATAAAAACAAATTTGAAGATCAAATCTGTCAAAAACCGAAAGGTCCACTGATTAATCTCAGATAAGAAAGTATAATACATACTCCAAGTATTGAAATACACGCCATCGTGTTGGGATTCAATATTTCGACATTAATTATGTCATCATCAGGATCAAATCTGTCAAATGTTGTTAGAATTGGTAAAATTTAAAAATATGGTAGCAGTGGCGGATCCAGGAATTTGAAATAGAGGGTGCCCAGAGAGGGACTTTAGCCCCACCATGGTTAGGGCTGAAGAAAGAAAATGTTTGATTATGGCATCTCTAGAGGGCCGGAAACGACACTTTCAGACTTTTTTCCCCTCCATCTTTGTATTATTTTGAAAAAATAACAAAGAGAAAACAAGCACTGAACAAAGGAAAATTTACATAATTTATTGATTGGAAACTTCATCTTCATAATCTAATTTAAAATATGATGCATGAATGATGAGATGAATACTGTTGAATATATTTAATTATTAATAATACTAGTGAACAAGTCTAGCTAGGATATTAGGCTATACTACTTCTACTAGGGCAATTTTTTCCATTTCAAAATTCTGAAGTTAGTGGGTGGACATATATCCAAGATAGAGTATTTTATGAAAATTCAGAAGTTAAGGGTGGGCTTTTCCCGGGGAGCTCACTTGCATACCAACAAAATAGGGGGTGCCACAGCCACTTCAAGACATGAGACACTTGTGCTACCTATTTTACTGAAAATATTATGGACTTTAACTACCATTCACCAAAATCACACTGTGCTCTAAAAGACGACAGGAAAAAGGCCACACAATAGCACTAGAGAGGGTGCAATATTTACTGGTACTGATGGCAAAAAGTGTTCCATCCGGTTGCGATCTCGTGGCTGTAATACCGAAGGTAGGCTTAGCAAGGGGCTTACCGGCTTAGCACCCAGCTTGAAATTCCCGCTAAAATCGTGCACAAAATCGTGGCACTTTGACACAGGATGGGCTAGCCAATTTTACTCTGGTTATTTCCCGCACCTGTGCTACTAAATCCTTGGAAATATAGCCCATAAATGCTGCAACTCCCCCCATAATTCCCACACTTGTGCTACCAAGTCCTCAAAAATATACCCCGTAAATGCGGCACCTCCCCGTATAGAAATATTTAGGAGTGAGCCCTTCGGGGGGCTTACAGTATACAGTGACCAGGATGGGCTTTTTGATATCCAGAACACCCATGGTTGGCATACAATAACTTTTATTTCGCAAATTAAATACATCCAGAACAGGAAATATACAGTTACATTAAATTTAAAACACTACACAGCATTGCATGCACAAGGAACTAGAGTAGGACAATAGAATAGATACAAATTATATACTACACTATGCATGTACTATACAGTACATGCATGTACTATTGTTTTTTTTTGCTTCTACCTGTTTTGTTGTGATACAATACAATAAAGCACAGTGAGCAATAAAATACCAGAGCAGTTTTGAATCCACATAAATATTAATGGAGCATGTATTTGAACTCCACAATATACAGTACTGTGGCAACAGTAAATGGTCATTCATTCTGTTTTAAATTATTATGAAGTGTATTATGACTGTAGAATACATGTTATTTAATATTGAATCCTTACATCATTGTGTGTTGTCATGGATATTGTACTGTACACTTAAGCATTCGAATGATTGCATTATTATACAACTCCTCTTTTGAGTCTTGTGCTCATAATTAAAGTATAACGACTGGCAACGTTCAACCACAATTAAGACTTGGTCTAAATAATTAATTACATGGAATATGAATATTTTAATTGTTTTTTTTTACCTGATGTATAAAATCGATTACTTGATGATGTGCTGCATGTTCCAAAGATTCCCCGTTCACAGTGATGATCTCGTCACCAAGTTCCAAACCAGATCTTTCTGCAGGAGAACCTGTAAATAAGTTATAAAATATTTATCATCTATTTCAAAAAACAAACTGCAAGTACTATATTCTAAAAAAAATCCTAGGATAAAAAGATCACAGTATCAAGGATTTTAAAAAGGGTTGACTTGATTTTAATTTGCAGAAGAGTAGAAAACAAATTACAAATCACTTGACTTGCTCCTTGCATTCTCTTCCCACTCACCCACTTTAGATCAAGTACCACAAAATTCTAAAAACAACACTGTGATGATCTAAGTGTGATGATGCAAATATTAAATGTTATGTGTGAACAAAATGGCATTGAGAGACTACATCTCATGTCAAGTGTGAAGTAGTAGTCTCACATCACAGCTAAAGGTTTGAAAGTTTATTATGTTAACTTGACCTGTAATCTAGTTACTTTAGGTGCCAAAGCCCAGAAAGGGGGGGAGGCATGTTGTCACACTTGAAACATGACTCGCACAAGGTACTCTACCAGTTAAGGCCAGTTCGAGCTAATACTAGTTCAATTATAAGTTAAGGATTCTATTTCAAGTGTATAAAATGCAGGTGATGCTTTCTGAAAAGTTCCAAACTAACAATAGACTACAAATTATCTAGAAAGTAAGGAGTTGACAATTTTCAATGCTGGGAGTCATCAATGCTTACACAGCCTACTCTTAGATAACAACATTGAGTTTAATAAAGGAAGTCCTAAAATAGATGCCAATTATTATCACAATATCATGTTATATTAATTCTACAATGTTTTGTTAGCATTTCAAAATGATTAATCATACATTTTTGCCTTGTATATTAATTTTAGGCATGGGATAATCGTAATTTGTAATTGTAATCATTACATTTTTAAATGTAATTGAGTGTAATTTGTAATTGGGCTCAAAAATCTAATTTGTAATTGTAATGTAATTGTAATCATGGCAATAACTGTTTGCTTTTATCAAAATCTCAAAGTAACCACTGGAGGACTCATCTACTTTATTGCTTTATTGGAGTAACTGTTGGTGTCAATAGGATCCAACTATAAGCTATTTCATGTTTGTTATTTCACATACTGTAATCATAAAGCAAGGTCAATTTGCTTTAAAATAGAGTGTACTAAATATAATAAGTTCCACACTAATATAATTTTACATGGTTAAAAAGTACCGGTAGGCCTAGATCTTAGTTTTAGAGTTAGATGTATTGTTGTTCTTGTTACAGCAGCTGTAAAAATAGCTCCCAATGCGAAAATATTGAATGACTGTTAATGTTTTTTTTTATAATTATAAAATCGACAGGCCTTCCTGCAATGATCATTTTCCTGTTTAAATTATTAAAATCGAACACTCTTCAAAAGACCACACAATTATAGGTAAAAAGGGGTTCTTATGCTACGTTCATTAGAACTTGTGAAGTCGGTGTTTCCCAGTTCACAACTTGTGAAACACATTCATCTCGTTGGTGAACTCGTAAATGCAAGTTGTGAACTCGGAGTTTTTTTTTTCCTCGATTTGCACGACACAAGTAGTGGATGTTACACAAACAAGCAGAGCAATTTGTTTAAGTAATATTATTTCAGATAAAAAAAGCGTTTTTTGTATGTTTTATTTGCAACCTCATGATTTGCAATGTATAACCTTCAAAATGCACTTTACAGAGTCCTAATTCAAGTGTTTTTTTTAACTAGGCTACAGTAGGCCTATTAACGTATTATCACCCACACACAACAGACACATTGCAAAAGTGACAGCAGCCACTTTATAGCTTTCATCAAATGAATGCACTCATCTTGTGTTCTCGCATGTTACAAGTTGCGAAATAAGTTTTCACAAGTTCCATTGTATGCAGCATTATCGTATTGTTTATTGCCAATCAAATACACAGCTGGATGGGAGGGCATACAGTAGTGACTCACATTATGTCAGAGAACCACTCCCATACAGTAGTTATCAAACATACAGTACAGTATACTGTATCATTAAAATGTCATATAAACAGTACAAAACACATTATCAGGCTAAAAATTCAGCAAAAAAAACAGCAACAAGGAAAAAAATATTAATTTTTTTTTTAATAGATTACTGTAAGCAGTCTGGTTATTAAGTAAAAAACAGTGGTTTCATTTATCAGAATTTTGAGCATTTTTGGAAGGCCATGAATAACTACATAAAATGTTCAATGAGTCACACTGTTATGTTCTTTAATTCATTGTTTGCTGTCAAAAATATGAATTCACTTGTCGTTAAGTAGAATATCAAGAGAGGGCCTCCTTTACATTTGTTGAGCACTGGAAGATAACTGATTTGAACTGATAAGGTTGTACAGGGTAAAGAAGAAATAAAACCAAAACAATCATAAATAATCTTACCCTGATTTTGTTTTACTTATTTCATTTTCTTTTGTATTTTTATTGTTGTTGCATCATTGAGCAAAACCAATTTCTATCTCTTATACATTATAATAAATCTGTATTTATAATAAACATTTTACTTAGCAAGGAATAGTGACCTGGGTAATAATGTGACAATAACAATTATAGAAGCTTAATGTTTTTTAAATGTGAAGTTTTATATACCCTGTACTTGTATGTAAGTACCTGTTTATTTTTGTAAAATCAAAAATTTAAAATCCTATCTATTTAACTGTATTTTTAAAATTTAATATGTAAGTAAATTTAAATGAATAAGGATCCTTTGGAATTTTTTGCATTTTTATTGACTTATCAATCTAATTTCTGCTATTGCCTTACATTTTTGTATAATTCAATTGATGGTTACTTTGATTGCACATAAAGGAACATTTTGAATTTGAATTTTAATAGTGAGAAAGGTAAGTATGCATACTCATTATCATCAAATAACAATGGAGCAACGACGACAACGACAATGATAATGACAGTTGATGAGGATCATCATCAATATCTAGTGTCAGTGATCATGATTATAATGATAATAATGATAATAATGACCTTTTCAGATGACAGGTTAAAATACTGATACACATAGAACATCTTTATATCATACACAAAACTGAGACATACAGTAGCTGAGCAAGTGATTTTTAAGAAAAAAACCTGTTCTGGTTGATTACATTGATGGTAGGTAGTAATAAAAAAGACTACTCTACAGTCTATCACATCAACATCAGATTTTCTGTTAATTGTTTTAAAAGTTTAGCAGTTCTCTCAACCTTTCCTAATTCCAATTCAAGTCTCTAGAAAAATTGAAGTATTTAACTTATTTTACACAATAAAAATACAAATAAAAAACTTACCTTCTGAAACTGCATCTACCCTGGGAATGAAGCCTTCATCTACACCTCCCATTATAGAAAATCCAAAGCGATCTTCACCCTTATACATAACAATTGGTATATCCAATTCTTCTTCTTCCTAAAAACAAATCATATATGGATATTCATAGCAACTATCATACCTTAATGAATATTCATAAGTTATATATACTGTAATTCAGACATTTACATAATATACCCTGGAAAAAATGACCACTATTTTACCATGCACCCACTGCATGGAGAGAAAATACTGTAGGCGCCACTCACGAAAGCACTAAGGCCTCCAAAAATTTTATAAACGCTGCAACGCTTATCCAAGCATTTATGGTACAGCAAAAACAATATGTTAAATAATATCAGCTGGTCGAATGCCTACCATGTAGATACCATGTAGATTGAAGCAATCTAACCATTGCTAGCACCTGTAACCATACAATGCGATAATGGTCTAATGGCAGATTCGTTGTTAATTCATGATAGCAAAATAGGTTGCTAAAACACTTTTACAAGCCTAAATGATTTATTATTTTAAGAGTATTGTGGGATGGAGAAAAGGGAGAGCTGAGGAACTTACAGCCAAAACAATAATGTTAATATGGAAAGAACCACCTGGCTAATGACTTGAAGGAAATATGGTAGTAGTGCATAATATAGTAATCTGTAGTATTTTATAAGCGGCACAAAAACAGTGAAAATATGCAGTGCAATCCATTTACACAGCGTGCAACAACAGTTGTGATGCAAAAAATATTTGTGGTTTGTTCCGCAATCTACAGAATATTTTTTTGAAAATTATTTAATCTATGCTGAGCGACATATGATTCTGTAACGTACAGTAGTCATATTACGTTTGGTGTGGATCATTTTGGTGAAGAACATAATACTGTACTGTATGCTCTATTTTTTCTGCTGCTATCGCGCTCTGTGTAAAGAGGGCTTTAAGCTGGTACTAAAGTCGGGCACTCACTGCGCCCGATGATCGTCGGTCTGCGAACGCAATGACACAACGCTCGTTTTTAATGACAATCTGTTCAGACTGCCGACAATAAGCAGGCGGCATCTCATCATTTATCACTCACAGGAAACAAAGTTGGATTCGTCGTCGTAACAGTAGCAGCACATGGACTTACGTCATCACAGAAATAGTATCTTAAAAAAACTTAACGTAATAAATTGTCATTTATTACCTGGCTGTCATTTAGACCATTGTGCTGATGGAGGTCTCTAGTTGCTGGGAACTGTACCTGTCCATTTGCAATTCCCTTCGGTCCCATCCTACCAGGATATTCTGTGTACAAATTACCACTCACTGCTGCCATCTTGCAAGGATCTCAACACATCATAAAGAAATCCTGAAAACAAAATATTTAAAATGCAATATTCAACCAATTTTTAATTTCATTTCTGGGCCAGCCCAGAGCCTACTGTACTCTAGTAGAAGCATTATGTGCTATACAATATTTGTAATGATATCTTTAGGACTACACAAGCAAGCATGCAACAAGCAAGCATTGATTGTCCATTTCCCATCCTCAGTACTCTGCAGTGAATATTCACATATAGTATAGTACTTCAAAAACATCCCAATACTGTATTTCACATCTGTCACACAGATTTTGGCTATTATTATTAGTACACTTAGTGTATGTCACTATGTCAAAAAAATGTTTAAAAAAACCCAGTCTGACCCATTTTATAGAAGTTCACCATGTAACAGTTGTCTTTTTATCTGGTAGATTATAGCTGGATTTCCAAAATTCAGACATAAACAAATGAAATATTTATGGTAGCAAGGTCAATGAGACCACTAAATCAATATTAACTGCTCCTCTTTAGAATATCACATCAGTTGTTTAGCCTGGTATTGAAATCTCAAGTGGTTTCAGAGAGCAATACTAAAATTCCCCAAGGAATAATAATGTACTATATGGGCATAAATCTCTTGTGGTTTTATACTGTACATTACATGATTCTGGTGATGTTGCAGACTCACAGGAAGTTATGCTACAGTAGTGTAAGACTACGTGTATGAATGTTACTGCCTAAACTTGCAAGCAGTTCGGCTTACTGTACTATAGTATGCTAGCAATCTCACTAGTGACTGCTACAGTACGTTGGCTCTAGAAATTAAGAATGGGGAATTGTTTCCCAGTGTATACAGTACTTACTACCAAATTCAGCACCAGGAAGATACTACTGCACATGCAGCTGCAGCGGGTTTCTGGTGCAATTATTGCCAGCAAATTACTATAGCACCACTGAGATAGTTTACCTACTGTATGACAAAAGTATTTATAATACACTACATAGACCAAAAGCAACTCCACTCCCTACATGTAAGCCTCATAAAAAGCCTTGGTTTATAAAGCATTAGTCCATCCTATAATTGGTGAGTTACTCGGTGTTTGATTCAAATGAAATGAGTTTTTACAAATATTATAGAAAAATACATAACATACAGTACCATAATGTCATGCATGATATTCCTAATATTGGTAAAATTACAGTACATGATAAGAATTTTATTTATTTATTTCAATCATATTTTAAGTGGGTGAGCCTTCCAGCAGAGGTGCTACTGTAAGTATATTGTAGGGGACCCACTTAAGCCACTTTCAGACAGGCGGGCTGGAAATATTGCGATAACAATGCCGGTATTCTTATCAACATGCACAATTTTATACTAAACAAATATTGTGGTAATATTGCCATAATATGCCTCTCTGTATGAATGGATTGCGTACCATACTCTGGCATGCCATTGTAATGTCAATGGTACTGTATACTTAAAAGTGCCACTTCCATAAGGAAAGTAATTCACCACTGCAGATAAATAAGATTAGACTATATATATCAAATAATTCTATAAATAATGATTAAAATTCAATAATTAAAATCTTAAATGTGACAGATGAATGTAAAATCATGAAGCAAGCAATGTACTGTACATTGAGATTCATATATTCTTAGTCACTGCACTGTCCATATCAATTATAATAACTAAACCACTGTTGATATACCATTGTTAATATGCCAACCTAACTTGCTATCTTTTGTTAATTTCGTGATCAATACTGAATAACAAATGAAAACATAATATGAGGAGCTGACAGCTTAAGTCAACATAAGTGTTCGCTTATTAAAACAACATACGAAATGCAGTCCTACAGTACTGTGCAGTAGCATCAGTGTTATATTTTGTGGGCCATGTGGAGGATGGAGAAGGGGATAGGGAGGGAAGGTCTTATTCTTATTTTTAATTGATATTTATCACATTTATAAACAATTCTATGTTATGTACAAAAAATATCTCAGAATTTATTTTTTGACAATAAAGTTGACTTGTATCCTGTATTCTCATTCACAGCCACTTGCTGATTGTCTGATTACTGAAAGTAGCAGACAATGTAATATAATACTTGTATACTATAAGTCAGCAATAGGGTACATTTGAACATGACAGGAGGGGTTGCCGTATTCTTGAAAGCTCTTAAAAACCAAAAGGCCTAAATAAGTCGAGCAGGCCTAGCCCCAAGGCTAGCTGACGCGATTTTTTTAGGCTAGGCCCAGGTAGGCCTAGGCCAGGCCCAGGTAGGCCTACAAGTAGAGTAGGCCAGAATTTGAGGAATGCAACAAAACAGATAAAGAAGAGACTTACTGTAGGCCTAATTAAATTCAATAGTTGACATGCTTTGTTTTAGATTAAAAAATAATAATGAACAAATTCTGGCGACAAAGCGTCGATCCGACTGTACCCAGCCGCGTTGTTTGCCGTAATTTCACATGTTTGACGATTACCACGATGAATGTGTATGTCACTGATTCATGTGCACTCATTTATTTATTTTTTGTCCATTTACACACATTATATATCAATTATAATTAAAAGTGAAAAACTTAAAATACAAAATGAAAACAAAGTAAAAAAATAAATCATAAATCAGGTTTCGTAAATTTTTAATAATCTTCCTGCCCCGGACCATGCTCTCATAATAAAACACTTGAATGGTCACGATTTCAACTTTAACCTTTGAATGTGTACAGAGCAACCGTGTCATGCCGGCCCACGATGCTCGCTATGACGCAACTGGGCCTAGGCTGTTAAGTTAGCGATGAATAGCAGGGCAGTGCAGTATTTTGTTACAATTAACGTAACCACGGAAACATTTATTGTATTCTTCTTGTCTTTATCTATCAATTTAGCTTGTCTATTGTGTTTAGGTAAACTAATTATTTTGTTACAATTTGTAAACTGTTGAAATAATAGTGGTGGTCGGGAGCCTGTAAATCCTGGTCGAAAATGTTGAGTGCTGGACGGGCGTCCACCGCCGACCAGCGTGGTGACATCCCTGACATGATTCTCCATCAATCATGGTACAAGTGTGAACTTTAAGGTTTTGCAAACTCTGCACTTCATCATCTGCTATCATCACCACAAGGCACACTTAACATGATGTTTGTTTACAAAACGTAAACAAGAGTTTGGTAGACGTATTAGGAGTCATCTAATTGGTGACTAATCAACAATAATTCCTTAGATGACATCATCCGATACAGGTATTCTTTCCCAATTACCGAATTGGCTTTAAACTGTATTCATTGAAAATATAGGCTAACTTTAATCACACTAATAGAGACCATACAATAACACAGTAAGGTGGCTTTGTAAAGGATGCTCCATCTACTGTACACAAACAATTTACATAAAATACTGTAATATACAAGATTTTATGAATTAATTATACTCCTATGCTACTGTAAAAAACAAAAATCTTTCCCCGAATTTGGGTTTCCAAACAAATATATTCTCTGGTCTGTCTAGAGTATCATGTATTTTGCTAAGAATGCAAGACTTAACAACAAAACAATCCTACAAAGGGCCTTGTGAGCATGGGCTGATATACTATAATTGTTCTGCAAGAAATCAGAGGAACAATGCCATAGTTCATGTTTCTATTGTCGTAACTTTCTACCGCTGTTTTCAATAACACAACCCTAACACTCAAAAACGCCTGCTCCGAGATATGCTCGCTACTAATGAAAACAAAGGAATGTTGGTACTCTCAAGTAATTAAATGGCGTAGAAATCATATTATTTGAAATGCAATGACCATCTATCGTAAATCTACACTCATTCAATGGTTGTCAAGCACAAAGAGGTCCTTACAATGTTCTTACAATATTAAAAAAAATGCCAGAGCTTATATTACTGTACCTGTACTGTACAAAAATATACCACAGAAAGTACGTACCAAAAACATAAATTGTTTTAGTTTAGGTATTGTAAGCACACTAGTGTCAGTCGACTTCCCTTTTTACATCCGATTTCACATCTACAGTACTGTACAGTACAGTCTTAATAATACTTTCATTTTATAAGGCGTACATATTCATCTCACGGATTTGCAACTTTTTTCTACATTTTTAGATTTTATAATATTATTATATCAATATCCAATTTAAAATAGTGCAGCGAAAGACAGGCAATATACAGTACAAAACGTAAAACTCTCAGGGGTCATCCATCAATACTCTGTCACATTGAGGCGATTCAAATGGCCGAGTGGTTTAAGGCAGGGCCTGCAACCAACAGCCATATCAGCCCCAATTCGAAGAGCACGCTCGCCTACTGTATGGTTCTAAGTCAAGTCTTCTCGGATAAGGACTTTCTGTTAATTGATTTGCCACATGTTGATTGCAATAACATGTAGCTTGACCACGGTCTCGTTTTTGAGGCAATTCTACTGTACTAGGCCTACAGTAGTTGGTTCATAATATCAAACAAAGCATCTTTAAAATTACCTTTTTGAGTTGTCTTTAACTTCATAATTGTCAAAAGTAATCCAAATAAAACATTAGGCCTACAGAACAAATTTATATTATTACCATTCGTTGTAAACTTTATATAAATTTTCATGTCTTTTTTGGGGAAAATCTGCAAAATACCGTGGTAGTTCGTTCCCTGTGTCTAAAGATACGGCTGAACGAGATACTGTACGTACATGATTTTGAAATTACAGCTAATACGGTACTGTAGCCTTATCTTTAGCCACTGCAATTCACACATTCTAGCAAGAAGAACCACAAACAACGTTCGTACTCACATACTACATTTAAAGGCTTGGGTTATAAATGCAGCCGAAAATCTCCTAAATGTTAATAGGTACTGTAGGCTTAGGGTAGGCGAGAAAAAAAAAACTCTGAAATGCTCTACCAAGTGAAGATGAAAAATTAGATGTTAAACATATTTTGCCTTTTATTTGTCGATAGCAGGGATGGCCTACTGCCTACCCAATTCAAAGCAGGCCTAGCCCAGGCAGGCCCTCGCCTAATGTAAGTTCTGTTTTGTCGTCTTCGATTTTATTGAAACATCATCATGAGATCAATAGAAATAATTTTAATCTTAAACTTTTTTATATCAGTGTATAAGCGCTAAAACTGTCTGCTATAACTCTCGTGTAGACACACGATAAAATTTGATGCGACCTTGACTGGTTTTCTTATTAACTTGCATCGGATAGGAGTGATCGTGCGAACATGGCTTTTGAGATTTCCAAATATGGCACTCTCATGACAGGTGTCTGTCTTAGACAATGATTCTAATTATTTTTTCCTTGACAGATTTTACCGCGACTCCTCGACAAATCCACTGGCAATGGCCCATTTCTTTAACTACCCACTCAAAATATGGTGAATAAAAAAATAAATAAAATACCTGTACATCATCATGCTTATAGTACTGTAATATTGTAGACAAATCACAAATAAACTTGTGGACAGAGTAAGTCTGTATGATGCTAATGTCAAGAGAGCTCAAATAAAATGGCCTTGCTTTGTACAGTACCGTAGCTAGTACAGTAGTTAGCAACAGCTCAGAAAGTCTGAAGATCAGTGATTTGATTGGTTAAATTTACTGAGCCACAACATTGTACAGTACTGAAAGCAAACATGCAATAGGATTTTACCATGTACAGTAAACAATTACAAATTTATTTTCAACCATCATTTATTAAAGTAATCAGACTCAAAGACTTTGCTTTTGAAATACTGTAGTCTTACAGAACCAACATTTTTGTCAGTATTTACCAAATAGTTTTGCCAAAAGCATCCAGATGGACGAAAAAATTATAAAAATAAATTTTATTGGTGAATGCACTATGGGGTATTGCTAAATTGAAGTTTGTAAGATGGGGATGTCAATTTGTAGAATGTTTAATAGGAAGTGGGAGATCATTTATGAATAGGTAAAGAGGAGTGGTCCAATGACTAAGTCTTGTGGGATCCCCATTGAAACTTTATTAGAATGTGGAAATAAATTATTCGATTTTGACACTGAGAGCGGTTTGAAAGATAGGGTTTAATTAATTGAGAAATGAGTGGGAGATGCCAAAGCTAGAGAGTTTATTGCAAGAATTTGATGATCGACAAGATCAAAAGCATTTTGCGGAGATCGATAAACAAGACCCCTGTGTATAACCCTTTGTTGATGTTCACAGGGGCAGATCCAGAGATGTCTGAATGGGGCGACCTGAAACTGGAGCTGATCAAGAAAACACTTCCCTAGGAGGTTCAGATTTTTGGTTTGTAGATGACCGAAAATAACATCTGAGGTGTTTTGGGCGATAAATAAATTTTCTCTTTTTCTTTTTTCTCTTTTTTTTTAACTTTCCAAGCTCCCCCTCTAAATCTGCCCTGATATACCAGTTATTCAATGTAAACTTTAATAGCTTGATTCCACCATATATGGTACTGTAATTGCTACATGCTATCGCTAACAGCTTTCGCTGATGCTGATTGGTCGATCAGTCGAATCAGGGATCCTTCCTGATTGCATCGGGGACTGCTATGCAGTCCAACAGTTGCACTGAAAGAACTGGAGTGACAGTGTACTAGCGATTATTAAGGAAACCAAGCTGTACCGATTATATTGTTGATATGTTTCAATTAGTATGGGGTGTTCTATCAAGCATTATGCTTCAGGAATTTCTTCTCTTCTTAAGCCTCAATCGCACTGGATTAAATTTTGAGAATATGTAACCGTCATCACGGTAAACATTTCTAGGGTAAATGTTACCGTCAATCGCACTCGGACTTTTCAACTCGGTTAGTTTTCCCGATTAGTGTAAAATTAACTATTGAGGATGATACATTTTGACCCGTAACATGACCCGTACTGACATGACCCACAGCCTTCTGATCCCTTGATCTGTTTCGCGTGCTGATTTGCACTTACTTTCTAGCTAGTTCTTACCGAAATCGTTGGAAAAGGCCTAAAAAATCAAGAAAAATGTCATTCCATGCCATACTACTATTTAAGGGAAAGTAACACGTTAGAAAAATTTTTTTTTTTTAAATGGTTTGTGATCAACTAGTCGAATAGTATGATATATACGTACGATCAATACAGCACAGTAGTATAAAATTTGCGCGAAAATCGAAATGTACACATCAATAAACCAAAACAACACGAACAATGAGAAAACAGAAGATAGAAGAAGCAGTTCAACTAATTATACGCATGCGCCAGTGCTTCACAGAGTGATAAAGGTCACCCAATGAACAATGAGGCTAGGGATTCAGTCAATTTACCGACCTGTGGCTGTTCGCATTGGATTTTCCAGGCTGGTCAAAGTAGTTCGGTAGGAATTCCTGAGTAAATTTCACTCCCGAAAACTAACCGGCGGCGACAGTCAAGTTAACCGAGCAGGACTATCCGCACTGGATTTTTTCAGTCAAACTTACCGACAAGACGGTTACTTTTACTGAAATAAATCCAGTGCAATTGAGGCTTTAGACTGTTAAAATATTCTAATATTATTTATGATTATTGTATGAATCATCCATTTGATTTTCAAATAAAATTTAGAAATCAAGCATTGTGTAGTGGTAGTACTGCAATGCTTGTTACTGTAAAGGTACTGTATACCATAAAACTACAAAGTACAGTAAGGTCGAACTTCATAGAAACAAATGCTGCCCTTCAATAGTAAATTTATTTGCAAACTTTATGGTCAATTTCACGTAAAAAATGTACAGTACTTTATGATAATTAAGTTTCTACAGTACTGTACAAGAATCACTTAAGATTAATGTTATCAAGTGACAGTACTATCAAAACTATAGCAATCGCACTGTAGCATACTCCATATCTAAAAATAAGCCTGAAATCTTTGTGTATACTTTATTTATTAGAGTGAAACAATACAATCCAAATAAGGGCAAGTTATTAATTGTATGATTTATGATACATTATATCTAAGATGTTTTGATGTTGTTTGATTTTTGACCGTTGTAGTAAAACGTGTTGCGCTTTGTTAAAAATAAGGCTCAGATATCAAGAACCTAAAGTAAATTCGGAAGAATATCCAGTGAAAAAAGCATCTCTTAATTTATAATGAAATGAAACAAATAACATAAAAAATTGTAGCAATGTCTTTTATATCAGAATTACAAATTTTTATCTGATTGAACCTTAAGTTTAGCCCAATAAATATGAAACAATAAAAAAAAAGGTCAGAATACCTAGGCCTAGGCTAGGGTTAGTCTTTTGACAGCCTGGCTCGTTTGGCTGGTGATACCATACCAGCATCACCTCATTGGGAGTTAACAATTTGTCATTCATCCATTAATCATGATTCATAGTGTAGGCCTAGCCTAGTCGAGGAAGTTGAAACCAAAAATTCATTTGAAATCAAACTGCCTGGATGAAATAATGAGGATCTTGGCCTGGCTAAAACAGACGTTAAATTCTCTGTCTTTTGAATCATTTACCGTAATACTAGACAAGAGAATTATGAGCCTAGATTATACAAAAACATGGCGACATATCCTAGCCTTACATTCAGCCTGATTACCTGCGATATATTTTATTATTGATCACACTCACTAACTCGAGATCGACGTGACGGTTGAACACTTGGTTGAAAATCACCAGGCATGGGCCTAGCGCATGACAAGCGTTGACATATAAAAACAAAGTCACAAATATACTGTAAACATACCTATGGTTTATTTTGCAGTTATATTCCACAAATATATTCCTTTCAAATTTCTAAAATTTAGGTGCAAAAAATATATATCTTCTCAAAGACTTTCCTTATCAACTTATTCATCTGAAACCACCAAAGCTATCGCATCCTGAATAGCCACTGTAAATGATTGATGATTGGCTTTCTGTTATGGCTTTTACAATTAACACGCCTACTCCCTCTGGTAGCCAACACCACCACCACCTGTCAAACATACCAAAACACATCGCGTTTTAACAGAATATTGTGTTTTCATAAACGATTAGTTCAGAGACTTTTTTTGGGAAGTTGGAACGTATATTTTGCTAATTTTTATTTGCGTGTTTCAGTGAAACTCCCAAGAGGATCAGTATATGTGGTTACCCGAGCCCACAATCCTCTGTACAGGAAATAAAAGTTGGTATAATAACGTAACGGACAACCGTAATAATACAAAACGTACGGTACCGTATGCCTATTTACTGTAATAAGAATGAGAAATTTTACCTGACCGTTTTCAAGAGGGGGAAAGCCTTCAATTTTGAAGAACAAAGTCATTAGACACCTAGCTCAAAAGTCGTGAAAGGTCATTTCATTTTTCCCGGGGGAGGTCCCCTCGATCCCTTTTCGTTTTTGGGGAAAATGTTGACCCCCCACCCCCTAGGTTTGATTCCAGATCTGCATGATTCATAC